GCCGGTACGCTTGATTTTCTGTGGCTTTCCTTCCTCAATGTGCCAAGCAAGCGCAAGCGCTTCGCACCCAACTTTTGTTCTTGGCTTCTGTACGGGGAGGGCAATCTACTGTGTTTCTGTCGTTGTGTCATTTCTTGGCCCCTCAACCAACCCTGCACCGACAAGAAACATGACAGCAAAGAAAAGAAACCCTAAGCCTCAACCTTGACTAGACCATGCATCAACTGTTTCTTCTTTCTTTTTTTTGTCAAATTTGCAACAATTTCGCAAGCAGTTCGACCCCTCAGAACGGACTTTTGCAGCGCGCAAAAAAAACAAAACACATTGCCCAACAAAATACATTTGACCCCCTTCCAAAGGACATTTGGCAAAACACATCGCAATGTTGTTTTGTTTTGCAAATGCGCTTTTGGGCCGTGACCCCCAAAGCACAGGAACGCTAGCTTGATCTGAGTTGCCCCCCCAATCAGGGGAGTGAGATCAGGTGTGCCTTGGACGTCAACCAACAAAGTAGGCAAGCCATTTGCAAAGCTGCTCTCACCCTGCTATTCAGAAGTGCAACCACCACACCTGTCCACTTCTTTACCGGACATTTGTATCGTGATCTACACCCGCTTGTTCTTGAAAAGCGTATGGGGTGGTGCACAGCCCTTTGAGGAATGGAATCAGAGTCAGAGTGTACGCGCCACAGAGTCGGAGTTTGCGTGCATATTTGAACAGCCCAGGGTTTGCTTGCATCTGAGCAAGCCTTGCCAGTTTCCAGTTTTCCCGGGTTCTGACCAGCAATGGCGCCGGTAGCAGGGGGCCTCCTCAAGTAGTCTCCCTGGCAACATGTTTTTCCCATGCTGCGCCAACCGCAACCAGTCCCCGAAGCCATTTCAAATCAGCCTCCAGGCGTTTTAAGCCAACTCCAAACGCAGACACACACACACACACACACACGATAGACAGCCCAAAGATACAGTGGACCCACTCGGCGCAAAATAACAAAAATCCAAACCCAGGCAATTCCACTCCAACTCCTGGAATTAATGCCGCCCATACTCACATGCACCCTGAACCAAGCCCCAATGCCCTAATCCTATCCTATCTTAACAACAGGTTCAGAGTCCATAGTCCGAGCCAACCCAACGACAACCTAAATCCACTCAGACCCACCACAGATCAAATTGACTCAATCCAAAGCCAGCCCGTATCGACCCTTGATTCGAAACACTGTCGGTCAATCCTAAATCATCTTCAAGAAGCCAACACATTCACCTTGCAAAGGCCATAACTTCACTTCAAATTAATCTTACCCACATTCAAGCAACACCCAACCCCAAACTCATCCCAAGCCCAAAACGAACCCAACTCGGGCATTCACGCTGCGGAACGCGCCGAACGCACAGACACCTACACACCGAATCGGCATAGGTTTGCTTCCCTCCGCTCCCCCTGGCTGACCTGGACTGGAACCTGGCCGACCTTACTGAAACGAGGCGGAAACAGCTCCAGACTCGCTTGGCCTCTTGTCTCGAGGCCTTGGTTGAGTTGAGGCGCCTTTTGGGGTACTCCAACTTGTACATCGGCAGATGGGTGTATTTTTTGAGGGAACCCTTCTTGGGGTGGTTTAAAAGGGAACCGAAAGGAACACCGCCGCCAGAATTACAGTATATTTCCTCACATCAAACCCAGGCGCTTTGAGCCTTCGGGATGTGTGCCGATTTGTGTTAAACTTGAGAGTGCTTGCCCCCTTTTTTCCCTGCGCGCCAGTGTCCTTTGGTGTCCCTAACAATATGCCAAATGTTGAAACGTGGGATTCCTCCAAAACTACACACCCATGTAATCCACCCAGCTCTGTAGCTGCACGTGTCGCGGCCAGAGTGGTGGATGCCAACATCCAGCACGCCATCGCTTTTGCCAAGCTGCTCATCAAGGCTGGACCAAGACCGACTTTTCGTGTGTGTGTGTGTGAGCTTTGTTGGACCACCCCGCGCCCTCAACACAAACATTTGACCATGTTCAGGAGTTCAAAGGTTTCAAGAGTTGACGCGTAGAAAAACACACTTTTTGCAGTTCTCTGTTGCCCCCTATGTTTATTTTGCAAACAGGGGCAACTGTTTTTGAGGGCCTCGATCCGATTCGATCGCTGCTTTCCTTTGAAATCCGCAAGGACAAGCGGCCCTTCCCGCAGCTGAACGCAGAGGAGGCGAGAAGTCGATGGGGCGCAACCGGGGTCGGCCCTGGAATTCCCCGCTACGCTCCTTAGGTCCTTGGCTGGAGTTTTGTGGGGCTCTTTTTTTCGAGGGTTTTCGGAAAAGGGAAACGACCCATTCTGGGGGTTCTATTTTTTGAGCAAGCCCATTTTGGTTCTGTAGATGTGGGAGACTGCAAGGAGCGTGTTGAAAGACAAGTCGAGGTTTCAAGATGTTCCAGTCACGTGGAGAAGTGTCGGCCTTCAGGCCTTGTCTGCCTCCCGTGGCTTTCTCCGTACAGACCTTCTCTGGCCGCAAGTCCCTGGCAAATATCAGGAGGAGCCCAGAAAGGGTTCCCCAAAGGAGATTCCCCCAAACATTTGTCAACATCTGGTTTGTTTGGAGCGGATGAGGTGTTGATTTATCTGGGTTCCAGTTGCAGTTTCTTCCTTCCGGCCAGGCGATACAGCAGGCCACCGCGCGCGCCTTAATGATGGGGAGGGCACTGAACCAGCCTGGGTCTCATCCTTTTTCCATGTGTGTCTTTCTTTGCTCTAGGGTACCCCTTCTTGTGGGCTTTAACCAAAAAGGAAACCTCTACTTTTTGGGACCCCAGCGACACAGCCATGCTGTTTGTTGCCTTGGTGCTTTGGTGTTCGTTGCCAAGTTATTAAGCGGTGCCTATCCGAGGGTACAATCTACTTGTAAGTCCCCCAAAGTGGGTTCCACATGAAATCGTCAACCCCAGAAAGGGCTCCCAGTTTTTGCCGGACAGAGCCTGACATCCACCAGATTTGACCTCAGCAATCGCAGATCATCCGAACCCATCTTGGGGGGCTCTGTTTCAATGGCAACAGAGGGTTGGGCCAGCCCCTCGTGATTAACATGTTTAAACGCTAGTGTTGAAGTTCCCTCCTTCTGGTTTCCCTTGAAATGGGAGCCAGGGTCTGGTTGCTCAACCCAGGTTTGCCCAATCCAGACCGCGCGGCCCAGGATGGCGCTCCCTCGCAAGAGCCCGAAGCGATCAAGGGGTGCAGCCAGCCGAAGGATTTTGAAGCGACGGGTTTCCTAGCAGAGCCCAGTTGCAATTCATATGGCGAACTGAATTTCAAAAGAGGAACCCCTTCAAAAGTGTTTGGTCAACATACAACCCCACCTAAATGATGTGGTCCCTAATTGACATTTACATCCATATCCATGCAGGGGGGCAGAGGAGGACTTGGGTTTGGGATGATGCCAAGAGACGCTGACTTATGTCTGACATGATAAAAGTCATCGGGGTGGATTCAGGACCCGCCGGATGTACCACAGCTGCGTTTGTTTTCCACATCCATCGGATGCTCAATGAAACTATCAAGTAGTCCATGGTCCATTGGGGCGGGACATGAAGGGACCTACAAGACTTCCCACAACTTCCAGGGGCGTTCCCTAATTTTCACATGTCCATAGAGGGGTTTGACGTTTTAGACGCTTGGAGCAGTCCGGCAAACTCGGCTGAACAATCAAAAGGAAGGTCGTCACTGCATATTTGTGCCCTTTGGGCCTGTAGCCATTACCTCGTACCGTCTCTATTATGGAACAGAAGGGTTTTGGACTTTAATTTTGGGGAAGCCACCTCTCCACTTCCACGTTGGAGGGGAACGGGGTATCCCAACAAAGCCGTGGCCAGGCTCCTGGAGCGCCGCTTCAAGAAGAAGCCGGAGGGCGACCTCGGCCGCACCGCGCGGCGCCCGAAACCGGCTGGCGCAACCGGGTCCCAGAGACCAGTTGGAGCTTGGCAACGTGGGCCTTGGGGCCGGAAGCATCGATTTGCGGTTTCCTTTTTTTTTTCTTTCCGCAAACATCCTGCATTAGCCAGCTGGTTTGTCTTAGTATTCATCGGGTTTCATGCCTAGCAGGCCTAGGATTTGTGCATTCGTGTTTTTTGCGTGTTTGTTTTCTGGTTTTGTGTCTTGTTGTTTTGGTTCTGTTGTTTTTTGGTGAGGCTGCATGAACGCGCGTTTTGCTAGCGTGTGAAGTTGTTTTGAGTTTGTCGACATTCTTGGGACCAACAGATGTGTGAAGCCAGTGTCTATCGGATAGGCTATCGTTGAGCGAGATACTGGCCAAGGCATGTACTTCAAATACCGACTTTTTCTAGACGTTGATGTCAACATCCGACTAACAATTAACTATTTACCATGTTTCCCACGGTGTTCAAAACATACCCACACAAAACAAGTACTTTGAGCAGGGGTACATGCATGATCTCAGGTAGCGGCTGTGAGTCTTGCCTGCCTTCCCTTCGCAGCCTTATCGGCCCCAGAGTGGTCGGGTACGTGTCTCAAAGCAGCGGAGCCCTCACAATGGTTGGCTTTCCTTTCGGTTTCCCTTTTTAACCAACCAGAAAAGGGTATCCTCGAACACCAGCACACACCCATTTGAACTAGTTCGCAGCTCTGAAGGCCAATCCGCCGCATGGCGTGGAGTTGAAGCCAAAGCATGCCTCAAAGCATACTCTGCAAGACTCGTGCAGAGGCCAAGCACTTTTTAACTGGCAGAACACTATTTCAGAGCCTGAAACCATCAAGGCATGGTGCTTTCTCGATGAACGACCGTGGTTGTGCCGGCCAACCCCTTGCCGAAAGTGTGTCACTCGATTTACTTGGGGGTACGAGTCCTCGCCTCCGAGTGTCACAGGAGCTTAGACAAGGGTCACTATTTCCGGCATTTTGGGGTAATTTAATTTCAGATGAGCTTCCCTTGGGGTGATGCAAGCTTTAAGGGATGGACCACAGATGAGGTAGGCTTCGGGCTGATGTCTTGCCCCAGAAGTTGTGCTGGATGTGGGTGCAGCTAGCGGAGAAGGCATCGTCGCGGGCAGACACACTCGTTGAATTAGGGTGACGCGCGCACCCCTACAAACAGGTGGTTTCCTTTTGTATCTCTTTGAACAGTACCTCAAAAGACTTGTTTTTAAGACGAAACACCAGGTTCGGGCAGAGTCGGACAATTTGTCGATTGCGTCAGCCACAAAACGAAGTCCAATCTTTGGATGGAAAGTCAATGTCAGAGAACAATCATGGCTTTGAGTCAACACTTTATTTGGTAAAGGCACCAACAGGTCAAACAAAAGTGCTTCGCGGCAATCCCTCAGTTGCTCAAAGCAGCGGATAGCAGCAGCGCGATCGCGTTTCACATTTGCAGAGACTTGGTGAAGAGGCAGCAGTTTAGCACAAGACGCTTGCATGGCACAGGCATCAACTCGCTCCAAACATTGGGCCCTTAAAATCAGAGGCGCTCTACCAGATCAACTGTGCCCTACCAGATCAACTGTTGCCTTCACAGCGTTTGGGCCTCCCCCCGTTGGTTCTCTGGCATTTCCAGATCTTTTCCCCACTCGGGTTGGGGCAAAACACCCAAATTTTCGTTGACAATTCCAGCAGAAATTGACATCCGCTCGCCAGGCGCCCGCCAAGGGCCGAGCGGTGCAGGTGGACCTGGCGAACTCCGGCTGGGTGGTGGTCCGAGGCGCAGACGGCGTCGGGGCCGGCGCCGAGGTGTCGGCTGCGGGTTGGCGTGCTTTTTTAGCTTTAAGCCACTGAGATTTACAAAAATGAGCTACTGATGGAGATGATTGGTGGGAGATGACATACCCTGAAAAAAAACGGTTTGCGAGGGATTTACACTCGGTTTCGTTCCCTCAGATACTTTGGGAGAAGCACCACGGGTAAGCAGTAGGTGAAGTGAGTGTTAAATTTAAACTGGGGACTCTTTGGTAGAAGGCAAATCAGACAAACACAGCGATTTAGGCCGATCAACCATGTTGCTGAGGGTGTTCCCTCTAAAGATTCGTCACCACATACAGTATTACCCTCTTTCCAACATCCATGGCAGTGGATCGGAGGGTTTTGGAAGACGAACCCCATTATGTTGAACCGCAAGGAAGACTCCAGCGAAAACCACTGCGCACCAAGTCCGACTTTTGGCTTTAGCAACTTTCTCCAAACGATTTGAGGTGACACGTCCGCTCGACCCTTCGCTTGCCGCAGGCAAGGACGGGGAGATCTACGTGGCTGAGGACGCGGTGCCCCCGCTGCGGCAGCCGCTGCTGGGCTCGGGGGGCTCCGTCGACGGGCGGCTGCTGCGCGCCAACTGCCGCCTCTTCGGCACCCGCTTTGACCTCCGCAGCGGCCAAGCTTCTTGTTTCGAAAGCGGGCGGCTCTGACGGGGGCCGCGCAAAAAGGTGGGGCCTCATGCCGACATCCTTTTAAAGCCGGTACCAAAGCCCTCGAAGCCACCATTTAGAGGGCAGTTTTCGAGGGTGTCACTTTAGTGGATCCAGTTTGCAGCCGGGAAGAGCGTCTTGGGCTCACTCAAAGTGAGCTTGCCTTTGGTGGGGTGATGGCAAACGGGCACGTGGCACAGGGTTGCCGGATCAATGAGCATAGCAACGCCAGCCTAAACAAGGACGAATCGCTTGCGCGGGAACTGAGGTGTTTTCGCTTTCCTTCAACCCCCTTTCAAAAAGCACTCCTGAAAGGTTTACAGTAAAATCATACACAGCTAGAAGCTCAACTGAATGAGTAAGCGCAAGAATCAGGGGACCTCCCAAATGGTGATTTTCCTTTTGACTGCTCTTTGAATCAATGTCAAAACAGGCACCTCCTCAACTGCAAACACCTGCACCCCAGTGTCTTGCATCGGTGCAGAGATTTAGGTCCAGGGTCCCTGGTGCCCCGGCGTGGAGCGGGGCCAGCAGGCCCGGACTGCAGTCTTCTGGGCTTGGAGCAGACTTGACGTTTCAAAAGAAACCAATGCAAAAAGGAAACAACAAGGAAACAGGAACCAAAAAGGAAACCGCCACTTTTTGCGAAGGAGGAGCTAAAAAGACTGGCAAACGATGCCCAGATCACACTCGTTTGGGGTTTCCTTAGTTTTTCCCCAAACACAGGGTGGCAACGGTTCGGTTAGGTTCGGTTACCTTCATGGTTCGGTTATTATGTGCCGGTTCGGTTCGGTTAGTGACCGGTTAACCCCGGTTCGCACGGTTGGTGATTAAAGCCCATGCAGGTAAGATCTCCACGCAGGGTTTCCACATGGGGGTTCCGACGCTTGTTTCCATGCGGAGATATCCATGTTCATTTGAGCTTGTGTGGCTGGAGGGAGTTTTGTCAGCAGCTGACTCCGCAGATCCCCCCCGCAGAGCTTCCGTACAGAACGTGCCCAGCAGGGGGCTGGGGCTCGATTAATAGGGGCCTCCATGACCTCCACATAAGGACCTCCGCCTCCATTTGTCACAAACAAGCTTCCACATAAGGGCCTCCACGGTAGGAGCCTGCACGTGGAGGGGCCTCCACTCCTATGTGGGGGGCCCCTGTGGATGGAGGCCCTCTATATACTATACGACCACTACAATGGAGGCTCCTACGTGAAGGCCCCTTTGTGAAGGCCTGGGCCTTCAAGAAAGGGGCCTTTGCAGGAACCTTGTAACGGCCGGCCTCCGTACAAGGACCACATAGCGGCCTCCACATTAGAGGCAGCGCCTGTGAGCTCCTATGTGGAAGCGCTTTTGTGAAGGCCATTTGTGATACAATGGAGGCTCCTATGTGGAGGCCCTTTTGTGAAGCTCTGGCCCCTACATGGAAGCGCCTGCAAGCTGCAATGTGGACCCTACGCGGGCGCGAGAGCATCCGTGAGTGGCGGATTTTCAGGAAGTCTACACAAGGGCTTCCACGTAGGAGCCTTTATGTGGAGCCATCAAAGGGGCTTGCTTAGACCTTGCAGGTGTGAAACCTTGAGCGGAGGCACTCCAATAGAGAGGGGCGTCTCCGGTAGCAGATTGATATCAACTTTGACGAGCCTGCCAGCATCAGGAGAAGGTGACCTTGCGGCAGAGCCTCTGGCCCAGATACTCGTAAAAAGCAAGTGGCAGAAATTGTGCGCCGCAGAGCCTAGCACAGCTCTGGACGGGTTCATTTGTCTTTCAGCCTGGATGCCTTCAATTGTCTCCCTTTGTCTCCTTCTTTTTGTCTCCCAGCCTGGATGCCTGGCACGGCTCTGTGGGTGGACGGATTCATTTGTTTCCCTTTGTTTCCCTTTATTTGTCCCCGTTGTCAATGCGGTGTATTCCGCGAGCAGGCCTGTGTGTTTGAGGCTCAGAACGCGTGTTGGAGCGCGCGCGTGCGCTTGATCAGATGCACGCATGAGTGCTTCAAGTGAATGATTGTGTGTTCTTGGTGTGTTCCAGCTGACCACATCGGCGCGTTCCCAGTGAACACTTTTGTGGCATGTGCCCACATGAGTGTTTTCCACGTGAGCACATGTTTGTGTTCCAGGTGAAAGCGTGCGATAATGCGGCGAGCCGCGCACTAGCAAGGCGCTACCGCAGCGGTCAGCTGTGACCGGTTCCCAAGTATGCCTCAATGCAAATTTGCTTCCGCTCTCCTCGCATGCAAGTATACACACATGTGTGTCCTTATCAGGCGCGTGTATGTGTGCCAGCAGAACACATGTTTGTTATCAGATGAACGCGTGTCTGCTCCGCATGCACATGTATGTGTGTTCACGTGTACGCATATGTGTGTTCCACGTGTACACATTTGTGTGTTCACGTGTGCGCACATGTGCATTCCACACGGACGCATGTTATCAGATGAACGCGTGTGTGTGTGTGTGGGTCTGTTCCGCGTGCGCATGTATGTGTGTTCGTTTGTACACATTTGTGTGTTGTGTGTTCCACGTGTACACATTTGTGTGTTCACGTGTACACACATGTGTGTTCCAATTGGACACATGTTTGTGTTTCAGGTAAGCACATGTTTGTTATCAGATGAACGCACGTGAGTGTGTGTTCCGGGTGCACGTATGTATATATATATATATGTGTGTGTTCACGTGTGCACATATGTGTGTCCCACGTGCACACAGACGTGCGTTCACGTGTATACACTTCTGTGTTCCAACTGGACACGTGTTTGTGTTCCAGGAGAACACGTGTTTGTTATCAGATGAATATTCGTGTGTGTCTGTGTTTTCTGCGTGCGCATAAATGTGTGCGTTCACGTGTGCAGTACACGTGTGTGTTCCCTTGTGCACATGTGGGTGTTCACGTGTGTGTACACACACGTGTGTTCATGTGTACACACATGTGTGTTCTTATCAGGCACGTGTATGTGTTCCAGGTGAACACATGTTTGTTTTCAGATGGACACTCGACTCTGTGTGTTCCGGGTGCACATATATGTGTGTGTTCACGTGTACGCAAATGTGTGTTCGACGTGTACACATATGTGTGTTCACGTGTGCACACATGTGTGTTCTTATCAGACACGTGTTTGCGTTCCAGGAGAACGCACGGTTGTTTTCGGATGAGCACACTGGTGTGTGTTCCGGTGCGCATATACGTACGCACATGTGTGTTCCACTTGGACACGTGTTTGTGTTCCAGGTGGACAGATGTGTGTTCCACGCTACACATTACTATGTGCTAGGTGAGCATGTTTTGCACCTGAGGATCATATTGACTCTCCAGATGTGCACATGTATGTGCTCCAGAAAACGCATGATTGTTTTCGAGGTGTGCGCGTGTGTGTGTGTGTGCGCTTTAGGTAAGCATTTATGTTTGCTCATGCGTGCACATATGTGTGTTCCACGTGTACACACATGTGTGCTTCAATCGCACATGCGGTGTTCCTGGACACATATTTGTGTTCCAGTGGTATACATATGTATGTTCCACATGTACACAAATGTGTGCTTTAATTGCACGTGTTTGTGTTCCAGGTGAACACACGTGTGTCCCACGTGTACACACACGTGTGTCTGAGTTGGATACGCGTTTCATTGTGTTCCAAGTGAACACATGTGTGTTCCACGTGAACATATTAGCGTGTCGTAGGTGAACACATATGTGTGTTCCAGGTGTGCACACATGTGTGTGTGCTTTACAAGAAGCGCACGTTGGTTTTCCAGCTCAACACATGTATGCGTGTGCCGCAGGTGAATGTACATGTGTGTGTTCACGGGTGCACATCTGCGCGTGCCGCGTGTACTGTTTCAGTATACCTCAGTTCCTGCGCGGTGCTGAAGCGCGAAGCACGCCAGCGACACACGTGCAGCAACGCAACGCGTGCCGGGTTCACGACTGTCATCATTTTGATTCATCCGTGTTGAAGCGCAGAAAGCCACAAACTGTTGGCATGTTTGTGCTTGCCCGTCAGTGCTTAACTGTTTGGGGTCTCTGGGTTCATTGGTTGAGGCCAAGCGTTTGGGAGCAGGGCTGAGACCGTCTCAAAGATATTTTTGTCAAGCTTGGAAAGGCCCTCGCCAAAGATAGGTTTCCCTTCCGTTGTGTCGAAGTGGGGACTTTTTAGGCAGGCTCTTTGTTTTGCAGCGTGCTGTCGCCAACCAGCATGTCTTGAATAAATCAATCTCCCGAGTCCATAACGCGCTGATCTGATACTTCTTGGTTTTGTTTTTGTGCGATGAGAAGGATTTTCCATGGTGGGTTAAACATGTGTTCTCAGAAATATGGGTCCAGGTGACATTTAGATCGAAAAGGGCCCTGTACGCGGTGATTTCACTCATACAGGTGTTGTGACCTTGTTTGGCCCTAGTTTGGCAAGTGTTCCAAACAGATTTGTATGGGCCGTTGTATGGGCCTCTGATCTGCTTGCGACCCCAACACCGATAGTTCTCATTCAGCTTTGCTTGGATGTGGTTTCCCATTCCGCTTTGCAAGGTGATGCCAGGGAAAGTTTCGGGCCAACCGGTGGTCTTTCAGGGTTTTCCGTATGTTTCCCTGATTCGAATCGTGGATTCCCAGTGCCTAGCCTGAAACGCCAGCCCCTGGTGCAGCTGTGGCTGCTGTGGTTCCTAGCGCTGCTGTTGCGGCATTTGGTCAAACCGCAGCCGCTGCGGGTGGTGCGCAGCCGCCTGCACGAGGGACGCCTGGAGGCAGGGAGTAGAAGAGGGACTTGATGAAGATGGCTATGAATCCGCGAGCCAACTTTGGCCACTTATTGCCTGAAACAAGTTGTTTTCTTGCTTTGCTTTCACAAAATGAACCAAATGCCTCCCCTCTCAAACTTTAAGGCAGACTTGCCAAAGAAAGCCTCCCTCATTCCCAGCACCCTGCAAGTTGGTTTCTGTATGGGGGTTGCTTGAATGCTTGGACCACAGGATGGAACAGGTATGAGGCGTTCTTTTTCGTTGGCGCACTGTTCTTCCTGCGCGGGGCCTGCAAGCCGTTCCCGAGCGGAGTTGCAGTTACAGCCCGGCGAATCCGCCTGTTGGTGCCCTTCCTTTGACGCGTGAGCCACTTGCCCAACAAAAAACAATATGTTTGGTTATGTTTACGTGGCAAGCGATACTGTTGAAGCTGGGTGGAACAAATGATGAACCTAATGCAAAGGGGGGGTCAACTCGGAGAGGTCGGTTTTCCCCCGACAGCAACCAAATCGGGAGGTGCTCCGACGAGCACTCGAAATTGCAGAAAACATCGCGGCTTTCACCAAGTCTAAGCTTAGCCTGAGACAACCTCGTTTCAAGATGTTGCAACCAGGTAACGCGAACATCGCGATTAATCCAGCAGCCGCAGCCTGGCCCATGGTCTCAGAAGAAAGAAAGCAAACCTTGTGATCAGCCATCTTAGAAAAAGAGTTCACTCGAAGCCGAAACCGATAAGGTTCAAAATGTGTCTAAAGCTCCAAAGCAGGGAGTGGTGATCCGGAGGTCGTGCGCAATTTCGGGATTCGGGATTTAATCACATTTCGGGATTAAATCACATTTTCTGGATTCGGGATTCGGGATTCAGGACTGGGAGGCCCCATCCTCAGATTTGGGATTCAGGATTCGGGATTCGGGATTCGTGACGGGATACGTCTCAAAGCAGGTGTCATGGGGAGTTGCGCGTACAGCACGTGCAAACGTTCGCATCAAAACAAATCAAACAAAAGTCAAGACTCCTGGTGCTGCTGGGTTTGCTCCGCCAGGTGGAGCTGCCGCCGCTGAAGAGGTGCTGGGATGCCCCGCTGGCACTGGCCAGGCGAATCGCCCGCAAGTGGCTCTTTTTCGGTAACGCCGTTGTTCACCGTTTTGGGGCTTGGTCGAAGGCAACACCGAAGGCATCCACCCATTTTGGGGGTCAAACAGATGTCAAGCCTGCACTTGCAAGATCTGGACAACTTTTGCCAGAGGTTTTGGATGGGAGGGCCACGCGTTTTTAAGATCAAAGATCAAACAAACCGACCATTCCAGTCCAGCCCCAAGCTGCAAGCCGCTCCGAGCCGCTCCCAGCCGAGCCGCCGAGCCGCCGATCTCAGGTGGCTCCTGGTTCCACGTGAGGCTCCGAACTGGGCCCATGCCGAGGTGGAGCTCCAGGCGCGTGTTGTGCTTCGCTTGGAGTGTACCTTCGCCTTGGAAGAAAGTCGCCAAATGGAAAGCCACGAGTTTTGAGGGGCCCCAAATTTTCACACGTGCCAAACAAGAGGCCAAGTACTTACTAGCATTTTGCTCCTGCTGCAACAAAATAAGGTTTCTGAATGAATATCATTTTTGTGTAGGGGAATTTAACATTTGTAGTTTGGGGACAATCTTTGTTGTGAGCGGAAGGGATACTCGCAAGGAAGGCATTTTAGAACCTCGTTTTTTTTGGGCTTGGGGTTCAGGTTTTGTCGCCCACAGGTGCTACCTGGAAAGAGCAACGAGGAGATGGAGGAGGTGAAGATTTCAGCGGCGCCCTGGTCAAAAGTTGCGTCACCTCTTCGTTCCTCAAATGGGACGCTGCCCGACTTCCAAACTGGGCCCCAAACAAATTGAGGGAGGGGGGGGGGGGGCAAACCGCTTCCTCCGTTTCCTCCCCCGAAACGCGGTGGGAAGCCGAAGTGAAGCCGAGGTGGCCAAAGGCTGCCAGGCCGAGCTGGGCAAGGCTTTGCTGCGCCTGCCGAGAACCGCCTCCGCGTGTGAGCCCCGGCACGTGTGACCTTCAGCGAAGTCCCGGACTTGGAAAGGTTGGTGGGGAACCCCTTCAAAAAGGGTTGGTGGGCATAAGAGAAACATGATGTCCAATCCATGTGGGCGTGCCAAAAAACAACTGGATTGTAAGTTGAGGATACTCAAGATACAGTGACGTGTGATGCTCACGATTGCATGGTTCCAAGGGGATACTTAGATTTGTTGAGGCGTTGCCTTGCCGTAGTGGTGTGCCATACGGACTAGGAAAATCGGGACCAACCGCCATTCTCAAAAAGAGGACCACCTTCCCATTTCGGAAAAGTCAGTTCAAACAACCAACCCCTGTCCAATTCCAGCAAAGGGAAGCCCTTTAAGGAGGTTGTTAACCCGCCTTGGTTGTCTAAACCATGGCTTAAACAAGAGGCTGGCCTTCTTTGGGGTGGCTTTTACTTCTTTTTTGGGGGAGGCCACCAGGAAACGACCAATCTCTGGGGGGCCCGCATGGTGAGGGGTCCAGGGTACGCTCGCCTCAGGCCGCAGATGGCCGCGCTGGTGCGGCAGTGCTTCAGCCCTACGGCAGCAGCGAAGGAGTGCTGAAGCTCCGAAACGCGACGGGCAGGGATCGGGGACCACACCCCTTGTTCCTGCATGCACTTGTTTAGTTCCTCATTTCGTTTTTCTATATATCTATCTGAATGTATGTTTGTACGCTGCTGCTTCAACGCACATCTCAAAACCTGCCCAAACCCAACTGCGAGACTTCAATCGCTCCCATCTCCACAGGATCTCCGATCCGCTTGACTGCTCCGCTTCTTGGAACAATTCTAGCCAAGAACATAACATATTCCGGTTTCGGGTTCGAACCACTCCCCCCAAACAAACTAGGGTACGCACCCGCAACATATTTTTTGGCCTCCCAACCCACCAGATTTTTTTTGATCATGAACCTGTTTGGTGTACCCCGCCTCAATCCATTCCCGAACCTCCCAAACCTTTGCTCCTGGCAGGGACCGCGGGTCGCCGTGTGGGTGGCGCAGTACGTGCAGCCGGAGGCCCGGGGCCTAGGCCTCGACCAACGCCTGCGCCTCGGAAATAAGTCGAGTTCCTTGGGCGTGGGCTGCCAGATGGGTTTTGTCTTCAACTCTATCGTCCACTTCCATGATTGTTGGAAAGAGGAGGGAAGAAGGAAACCCAAAGGGACGCCAACCACTTTTTGGGCTTCAAGTTTTGATGAGTTTCGTTTTCTGGTTGTCATCACCATTTTGGGTGTGTCCACCATTTTGAGACAGACCCTTTTTTTGATTGGGGAGAAAGAAGGGGGGGGGTCTTGCCAGTCTCAGCAACGAGACAAGTTTTGCTTTCTAGAGTTTCATTGGACTCTGTAGCTGGGTTAGTTGCTCTCACTGATGGTCTTTTGGATGTGCAGAGGGAACGCCTAACAAGGGATTGCTGGGCAACTTTTCTGTCAAGGGTTTGATCTTTGTTGTGGGTGAGGTTGATTTTGTCTGGGCAATGGTCGAAGGGCTGACAACTGATATAAGGAGTTTGCAGCGAACCACGCGCACAGTTTTGTCACCACCGCCTTCCCAATGGCGAGGTTTTCCAAGATCCTCGATGTCTTGCACACAAGAGGCGGGCCCAAAGTGCCGAGTTGAAGCCCAGCCAAATCTCGATTTGAAGTGTCCAAGGTAAAACACGAATCCAACTGCATTGCGAAGTCTACTTCTAAACATAACAAGCATCTTGCAAAACACCACACACACACACACACCAATAGTGTTATCTTCATCGTTACTTGAATTATCCATCCACTAGCAAACATGGACGTGCGCAGTTGCCTCTCCCTTGCTTTGGAAAGCTTCCCGTTGCTTGTTTCAACTCATTTCACCCAGCCGGACATGAACATACACTCAAGGAAACATCTCGCCTTTCCCATCAGCCAAAAGGCCACCAAAAGGAAAACCAGCATTTATTTGGAGTCCCCCTGTTGACACCCCCAACTTTTGGGCCAACCGCTACCCCAGCCGTAAACGTGAACTTGCCGAGCGTGGCGCCAGGCTTCGACTTCGTGCTGCTGGTGGTGGACGGGCGCACGCCGCAGCTGGTGGCGCAGCTCCAGGCGCGAAGCCTCCAATATATAGATATATATATATATATATGTTCCTTATCTAATAGATCTATATACAGGTACACATATATATATATATAGTATGATATGATATATATATATATAATTTGATACATATATATATATATTACAAGCATAACACATAGTTTTTGTTTGATTTTACTTCCCACCTGCTGAAAGCTACGTGGGGCAGGTTTCTGCAGGTTTCCAGCTGCGGGCGAGGGTTGCGGAAGGGTTTCGGGGTTGCTGTTGGGGTACCACCTGATTTTTTGTGTGTACAGGTGGCACAAGGCAATGCATGTTTATGTGTCGAAGCCGGGGATCCTTTGAGGACAATTTCAAATGCAACACAAAACCACTTGGACGGACTGCTTATGTGAACCAGGCCCAAAAGGTTTAGGTTTAGGGTTTAGGGTAGCGCAGTGCGACCCTCAAGCACAGCATGAGTCTTTGGGGGGTGGTCGCAGCGCTCACTGTCTCCAGCATTCAGCAAATTAGGGCGGAGGCCTTGCATGCGAATCAAGAGCAGTGTGAAGGACGGTCTATGGCAATGCTGTGCAGCAACGTCCCCCCCCAAGTTACAAAAAGTCTGCGAGGCGCACTACGAGGGCCAAGGCTTCGTGAAGATCGCGGAGCCCAACGCTATGGGACCGGAAGGGGGATCCCGGGTTGGCCTTTTGGCGTCCTCATCTGGGCAGATGGGGGTGTCTCAAAATGGGCTCCTCTTGGTTTCCCCTGAAGAAACAACCAAAGTGGTCATGGATCCTTCAAGTAGGGTTGAGACAACGGCATTGGGATTCCTATTGCGGAAGCCGTGACCATGGCCCATGGCCCATATTGACTCTGGGAACCTCCAAAATGGGTCTTTTCCCTTTGGTCTCCCTTTCATAGCCTTTAACAGAGTACCAAGTTGAAAAAAAAAAAACACAGAACCCAATGAATGGCTCAAAGTGGACTCCGCATGCAAAGCCCTCCAGGACTGATGCGCGCCATGCTGCGCCCCGTGCGAAGCGCAGCCCCCTCCGCCGAGCGAGCCACTGGCGCCGACGCGGTGCCCGTGGCGAGCGCCTTTCAGCTGGCGCACGGCTACGTGGCTTGGCGCACCGCTTTGGGACACAAGCAGGGGAGACCTCCGGGTTTGTTTCTCTTGGCCGAAGCCAGCAAAACACCGCTCCGTTTTACACTTCAGGGAGCCTACCCGTGTAGTCATTGGTAAATTGGTAAGGTCTTTCCAGTAGTATCACAGGAGTGTGCCGTTCCCGACAACCCTCAACGTTGTGCCATTTTATTTTTACATGTTCAATTGGTAGTTCCCCACGTTGAGAGAGGCCCAAAAGTGAAAGTGTCACAGCGGGTGCCCCGTTGAAAAAACAGGGCTAGAATCATGAGGAGGTTGCGACGAATGCCAGCGGTGCAAGGTGGCCCTGCCACTCCTTCAGGAGTTTGTGCAGGCAAGGGAGATGTTAGCTTCGCCTGGTTTGCGTTCTGCCTACACCCGCGGAAGTAGTGACCTCTGGCAATGGTTGTTGAAGTGGCTGCCGCAATTATGTTTGGCTCTGAGTTTGGATGGGACATAACCATGGTGGTTTTACATAAGTCCCCATTATATGATATCCGCCACTTCATACAACCCGCAACGCCAGCGCGTTTTGGGGAGCTCACACCCTGCCAGTTGCTGCCTGCGCTGCGTGCCGGGCGGCTGGGAGTCAAGCCCGGGCCTGCGCAGGTGCGGGCAGGGAGTCAAGGAAGGCCAGAACTCTCCAGTGTTTGCTTTTTGTTTCTTTTGTTGGGCTACGGTTTCTGTCTTACTCTGGGTCCTCCCCAGAGCTGGACTTCATAGTTTTTAGGAGAAGCAACACGTTTAGATGTTTTGGGCTGGGTATAACATCATACCAAGAAGGGCACCTCTAGATGAGAGCCCAAGATGAACAACGATCCCTTGGTCGATTAATGGGCGGGTCCGCGCTCTCGTCTGCATTGTGCCTCTGACCCACCGCCAGGTCTTGCTGCGGGCCATGATGGTGCTTGGCTATGTCGCTCAGATGGGTTTGGTCCAAGAAGGTTGAGACCACCAACAGACATGGCATGTATATGCGTATGCATATGCAAGTTGCTGGGAGATCAAGTAGCAAGGTCAGGTTGTTGCTTGCCTGCGGAGCTGTTTAGCTTCCTGTCCTGGCGTTGCCTGCCGTGCAATCCTCCAAGGTAGAGAGGCGAGCAGATGGCAGCGTGGGCGTCATAGAATCAGAAGAGTTGCAGGCGGGCATGGCATGACTTGCCTGCGCCTTCATAGAATTAGTGGCCATCATGCTTTGGCGCTGCTAGCATTCTGGTCATTTGTGTGGAAGGTCGAAAGGGGAAGATCCTGGCGGTTTCCACTGTGGTTTGATTGCTTCGTATGACGAAAAGGCCAGCCATGACGCCCACCGCTACAAATAGTATGTCCTGTACTTAGGCTTCCCCCTTTGCATAGTGTTTATCCTTGCTGGCAAATTTCCAGGGCACGACCTTTTGTCGCGCCCGAGTCCTCTTTGAACTCATGTGGATATTTCTCTCAAAGTCTCAAAGGAGACCCCGGATGGCGCTTCGGTTTCCTCTTTTTTAAAACAAAAACAATCCAAAAATAGGGGGTTGCCCGAAAAAAGACAAAGACGTGGTTTCACAATTCTTTTTTGGGAAACTCCAGGGGCTTCCCTTGGGAAACACCAATATTTACCGCCATTTACCGTAGCAAAGGGAACGACATTGGGTACACTCACCAAATTACAACTAGAGTTTGGGAGTTACACACCAAATCCCCGTCAAAGGGGGACAGAACAAATCTGAAGTTCAGATTCAAACTGTTCACAGTAGCGAACGGATATGGGAGAGAAGACACACAGAATACTCATAGCTGAGCGGCTTTTCTGGCCAGTTTGCAAACATCAAATATTCCATCTGGGGTGTCTTTTTCAAGGGTACCTGTTTTTGGGTTACCGTACTCATTTTCCAACACTGATTCAGAGTGCATAGTAAGGGGAGGTATGGGAGGGTTATGGACCTTAGTCCTCAATGGCCCCTAAAAGCCACTATTGAGTTGCAATGGCTCCCCTTGCTATGCCTTTGAATCAGGCGTGATCAAGCTTTTTGTCCGTTTTCGGGGGGAAAGGGGTGGGGGTTTCCCTGTAAACCATGAGGGTACTTTTGAGGGTCACCCACCCACCCACCCGGTGAGTTCGGACGATGGACGCCGTGCCGCGGCTCGAGGCCTGGGAGCGTCTCTTGGCGGAGCCCCTGGAGCCCTACGAGGCGCGGGGAGGGGCCGTGTCTGAGGCCGGGCGGCTCGCAGAACAAGCGGCGATCCGCTGGTTCCACCTTCATATTTATTTTGTTTACTTCTGATTTGCATATGGGCTCCTCTTAGAAGCGGAAGGGACTGTGGGATGGAAGGCAACATGTTCTGAAGCGATCAAGTAACACAGTTGGTGGTTATCATTATGGCGCCCCCCAAAACATCAAGTGATTGGTGGCACGGGTGCAAAATCAACCGAAAGTGCCCCAAAGCCCCAAAGAAAATTCAGTACAGCATATAAAGGGTAAAATATTGCTGCTTTGCTCTGGGTGGAAACCATCTCAGATGAAGGGAGTTTACCATTGGCGAACACCCGACAAAAGTGCTGGTTAAAGAGAATCTGGGAGTCGTGATCTAGACAGGCTTACATCAATTGTATCCATCTGAGAATCAACCGAAAACGGGTGGCCCTGGCCACGCTATCTACCGACGGGTGCACTCAGGTGCCGTGTTTGGCGTCGCTGCCGAAGCTGCTGGCCCAAAGGCGCAGGCGGCTCGAGACCCAATTCGCCAAGGCGGGGACGGATGGACGAAATCCAATTCGCACCGCTTGCACACCATGATGCACTCATGGCAAACCATTTGTTGGTATCGGGGGAATCATTGGGTTTCTTAGGTGCAGGATTTCGTCAGTATGGGCATATGGTTGGCTCGTCTTTTTGTTGGAGGGTCTCCCGTCTTTGTGGTTTTGTTGGGAAGCCAAAAGGAAAGCCACGATTTGGGACTCAAGCGGGTACGGTGAGACCCATAGGCACCCATGGGGATATGGGCGAGTGTTTTCAGGGTTTGCAAAGTTGACTCTAAGTGTCCATGGATTGGGGGGCACGGGGTGGTGAGCTCGAGAAACGGATGACGCAAATGCCCCAGAGATTACTTTGCCTCACACCTTTGACGGAAAGCTGCAGATACCCACCTCGCGCTTGCGCGGGTATTGCCAGGCCGCACTTCTTCTTCTTGTGGTCGGCAACATGTCAAACGTAGCGCCCCTGCCAAACAACTTTCAAGCTTTAAAACCCTGCTCAACAATGCCAATGGGTATACATGGTGCGACCTTGAAGGCACGATCTGGCAGCCCTTCAAAGCTTCTTGGTTTCTGCTTGAAATCCAGCTTCTGTTCTTGGCTTCGCTTCCAGACTCTCCCCCCAAAGAAGGCGTCCAATGGTGCAGCACATTCTGAAGCTATGGTTGTGGAAACTATGAATTCTAGGGCTGGTCTAGGGCTATCTAGGACTGATACCAAGGGAATCCTCTTAAAATTGACAAAGTAGTCATAGGAATGACCCATGTGGGTATCACAGGTTTCAGGATAATTTCCACATCGGTGGCATACTCGGCACACGCGCAAGCACCCAAAACCCTATTGAATAGTTATTGGCCATTTTGGTAGGTGGAAGGCCCATAAAACCTTTGTAACCATCTTCTATGGGTTTTGGGCGCCCAATTGAGCTACCCCAAATACCTGAAATATGTTAGTGGGTGGGAGCGCCTGTAGGTTGCAGCCCTGCTGGAGGGCGCACTGCTGACGCCGCTGCTGGTGCTGCTGCTGGTGGCGCGCCAGCGTGGCCTAAAAGAGCTGGAGGAGAGGGCCTGAGGATGGGAGGTGCGATTGGCAGGGATGGTTCGAGGATACTATTGTTTGCATTTGTTTTGGGTGGGCTTGGAGCGGGTTTTTGGAGGGTTTAGTATGGTTTAGGGTTGGTTTAGAGTTGGTTTAGAGTGATGGGGTGGGGGTGCTGCGGTTTGGGGTGCAGGGTTTAGGCCTGGTCTTAGGGCCCATAAGTTTAGTTTCATGCTGGCTTGGGATGGGTTTAGTTAGTGCGGTGTGGTTTCAGGGACCAGGGTCTAAGGGATGGGTGTGGGTTTAAGGTTGGTTTAGGGTGGGTTTAGGTCCAAAAGCCCCAAAAGCCACCAGAACCCCGCGGGCTTTTGATCTACTTAGGTTTCGTTAAGGGTCTTGATTTTCCCTCATGTTTTTTTCACAAAGATAGTGCGGGCAAGAAGAAGTGGGGGGATGTTAGGCGCCAGCAGCCCACCCATAGAACACGAATAAGGGTCACACTGCACGGGTGGTGCTGGGGCTGTGGAAAGCTAAGGTCGCATCTCGGCGTTTTCTGAGTTTTCTGGCAAGTTGTGTTTCTTCTTTTTTTCCGACTCTGGCATTTTCTTCTCGATTTGTTTGCAGCCAGTAGTTCTGCACAGTTTTGCCAACACTTTCCGGCCAGCTTTCCGGAACGTTTTTCCGACTCCGCCCAGTTTCGCTGAGTTATTCTGCCCAGTTTCGCTGAGTTGTTCCGCGCAGTTGTTTTTGTTTTTGTTTCAAGTTTTTCGAGTTTTTCCAGTCAGTTTTTCCAAGTGACCTCGCCATTTTCCGAGTCTTTGCTAGCTCTTCCACCCAGGTTTTCCAAGTTTTTCCCACTTCTCCAGCAAGTTTTTCCGACTCCGGCCAAATGTTCAGAGTTTTCTTGCTGTCTCAGTTTAGTTCTCCGCCTAGTTTTTGTGAGTTTTTTCGGGCCAGAGTCTTTCCCGTAGGCCGTAGGGCCTGATAGCATGGCAGCCATAGGGCAGCTCAATTCCGACAACGGTGCATTGCGCCCACTTCTTTGATGTTCCGAAGTTTGCCGACTCTGCCGAGTTTGCCGCAAGTTGTGCCACCTGGCTCGCGCAGGACCAGCTGCTGCTGGAGACGGGTTTGGGTACGGACCACGGAGGTGCGCTGAGCTTTAGATGCGGCCGGCGAGTTGGGGTCGGCCGCTTTAGCATCCCCCCCAGCGGGTTGTTTTAGCATAGGCCTGTGTCCTAAACGCGGGGAGAACCACAAAGAGTTGGCTTTCTTTTGGTTTCTTTTCACGAGGCATTCAAATCAGCTGCAGGACACCACGGTATCAAGCCTTTTCGCAGGCTGAGCGAGATATTTGGGAACCATACTGGCGAGGAGTTTTGTTGGAACCACTTCTATTTCCGCGTGCTGGCGTGATGCGAGGTGGTGCTCTGAGACCCACTTACTAACCCACTGACTACGAAATACCAACAGGAGTTTTGGGCGCTGCCCCAAGTACACACGCTAATACATCGTACTAAGTTCCATATGGAATATTTGGATCAGCCAGTCTATTTATTGCTTACAATCTAAGGAACCCAACCCCCCTTCCTTCGGCCAGGCGCGGTGCAGATGACCACCTCAGCACCCCTGGCACTGCAGCGCTGCCAGCGCTTCGGCCATAGTCGCTGCTTTGAAAAGCTTTAGGGTTTAGGGGTTTCGGGGGAAGGTTTCTTTCTGGTGAGCTTCAGGGAACTGTCCGTTGGTTGTGGCTGAGGATGATGCTGGTGGCGGTGTCTTATGCTCCCATGCCTCTCGGCGTGACCGCCATGCGACATCATCAGGTAAGTTGAGAACTGTTGCTTTCAACTAAGAGGCACTGGAGGTCCGGGAAGAGCAACTCACTTCCAGGTTTTTGGGCCTAGTGCTTTTTATCGCACTTCTCTCTCACCTGGTGCCGATCCTTGGCTTCACTTAGGCTGGCAAAGTTTCAGCACGTCCTCCGGGAGGCCGGGCTTTTTGCAGGCTCCCAGCGCCCAAGGGTGTACTTGTGAAGACCTGAAGCCAAGGGGAGGGACACCGCCAATTTATTATTTTGTGGGTTCACCATGTTCACCCATTGAGGCCAGGCCTCAAACATTATCCGTCTTGGAGGGTTTCGCTTTCCTTGCTGGAGCCCTAAAAGGGATCCAGGATTTGCTTTGGAAGGCCAAGCAAAGAATGGCACACATGCAAATGATGTCCACCAAAGGGTTTCAACTTTATCGGAAATCCTTGAACGGGACCCTGCCCTAAACCCGCCCCCATTCCCCCTTTCAACAACTTGTTCTCCAGCAAAGCAAAAGCAGCGAACGAACCGCCCCTTTCCTCGAAGTACACCCGAGTACACTTCCATTTCCTTTCCATTTCCATTTACCTCTTTCCATTTCCATTTTTTCATTTCCCTGATGTCCAGGAGCCCTCCTGGGGCTTCCAGGAGGCGACGGAACTGACGGAACTGCACGTGGATCGAGGCCTCAACGTCTGGGGCAGCGGGCTGCAGCACCAGGCACGCGGGTTGAACCCCCCCCCCCCGACGGTCCTAGCAGAGCAATCAAAACGCAGACGCAGGGTAAAGGACACTCCCAGACATAAATAGGTTCGGATTTCTGCGCTCTGAATTCTTTTCATTGAGTTGTTTTTTTCCCATTTACACCCGGTTTTGATTGCGGCTCAGCAATCCTTGTTTTTTTCGGGGACCGTCAAAGAGCCTTTGTTGGACTCAGCAAGTTGCCTCAGGCTCTGTAAGGGGTGTTTCCAGGGTCTGGTTTTCCGACCGCCTTGAAACTGAATGGGCCATGGTCCATGCTGGAAGACTTGACAGACTTGACCCAAACGGTGAGATTTGAAATCTGCACTACAAGAGGATAGAGCCGCACCCATGTGTGGGAACTCTGTATGATAAATACGGGGTCCCAGTTTCTGAGGATTCTTGGCTGCAACATACACCACATGCCCATGGATTGGTGGGTGATGTTTGGGGTAGGAGGGGGGGAAGTAAGAAACGGTGAACAGTGAATAAAAGCGTGGTTTTGGCATTGGGAATCTGGCCTGGTGCGAAGCAACACTAGGCCAATCCAACATGAGGGTCCAGCTCTATTTCCCCTTTCAGATGGTTTCAAGCATCACCCTGGGTCATGAGTGAATGTTCTCTGGTGGTGATGTTGTTGAGGGGAATAGAGGGATCTTCTGTGGAAGCTGCCAGGACAGTGTTGGAAGATGATCCCTTTGAAAAGGCTGGCTGCTCACTGGAAATTGCGGGTGATCTCCAAAGATTGTAGGACGCAAAGGAGCCCCTGTTTCTCTTGTGGACAGGTGCCCTTTGAGGGGTTGAGGGGTTGAAAAGGGAAACCAACAGACACAGGCATTTTGGGGCCGTTTTGGGAATCACTCATTTCTTCGCCTGCAGGCCTTTTTTCGGCAGCTCTTGGAGTTGCTTGGCCCCCTCTTTAGCGGCGACCCCCAGAAGCAGCCGCGCTATGTGGCGGACACAGGCGCTAGTTTCGACACCGATGCCGGGTCGCCAGTCATCAAATTGCATGGGCCATTGAATGCTAGGACCTAGGAACAATACAAAGTTACATCATGACCCTGGCGCCAGTTTTTGTTGGATTCCTTGCCTTTCAGCCTTTGGCTTAAGAGCCGTGTTAGGTTGCGACCAAGCCAGAAGCCGTGCGACGCAGGCTGCGGGGACGGCAGCTTGCTGCTGCAGATCTACGACTTTGTGCGGACCCGGACCCCACGGGGTCAGCAGCTGGAGGACGGCGAGCGAGCGATTTATCAATTGAAGGTGTCTGGGGAGTCCTCATTGGGTATTTGTTGCTTTTAGGTGTTGGACCCCAAAAAAGCAACAACAAGAGACACAAGTGGGTTTTCAAGGGTCAGTGGTTTTCCTTTAAAACTCGGAAAAAAAGGGTTACCACAGAAAGACACACCCAATTCCTGAATTATCGTCCTAGTAGTTTGCCCGAGGGTTTGGCTCAGCCACTGAACCATGAGAGTTGGGTGAATCCTTTTGGTGGGAAAGAAACACGGCAGATGTGGGGAGAGAATTAAATGGAAATCGAATCACCGAGAGGGCTTGTTCATGAACGTTCTCAAAAGCAGATCCGCCAATACGCTTGTCCTCAACTGAAGGAATCTCCAAAGTGGGCGCGTTTGCTTCCCTTTGAAACAACCCGAAAGGACTACCCTCAAAACCAAACACACCTATTGGAGGTAATTTCCAAATGCAAGTGGCATCCAATTGCTGCGGTGACCGTAGGAGTTCCCGCTCACGCTGATCGGCATCGACCTGATGCTTGTCTGAGCCGTCAAAACAGCACCATGGTATTCAAATGTGTCTACCCCAAACTTTGAAGACCCAAAGTACAAGACAGACACCCCCTAGACTTCACAGACCCGCAGTTTTACGACCCAACTTGACTTGGCCCAAGAGGAAGCTGGCCAATATGGATCTCTGGGTTCTGCTTCCTTGGTTGCGGATTGGGGCCATATCCTCCCATGCACATTGCCGTGAAACGTGATAGGGGGGGGGGGGCCTGGTTTGGACCATGGTCCCCTAAATGGGACCAGTTCTCAGGTGGATTCCATGACAACGAGGACAGGAGGGTAAATCTTCGTATCCACCTTGGCAGAGCCGTTTGCTTCAAAGACTTGAGCCGGAGTATCTCCAGGAAGCTGTGTGTGACCCCCAGGGAAAGAAGCAAACTTCCAGCCTTTCACGGCTGTCCTTGTAGTTGCTTTCTCTTGCGGTGTGCCGCATTTGCCAGCCAAGAAAGGAATCGGAAAGCGAAACACTGCTGGGATCTTTGGGACTGCTCTTCTCGGACGTGTTGTGCCATGGGCTCAACCCCAAGAACCATTTGAGTAGCTCACTGATACGTCCGCCAACTTTTAGGGCAGCTGCGGCAAACATGTCTCTACTTGGGTGTTCAGCCAAGTTAGCAAGTTGTTCGTAACCTAGTTTATGAACCCACTTTTTGAGTCCCCCTAAGTGGGGTTGACCTGGATATTAGCGGGATATAGGCCAAGTAGCTAACCGCTTTCTCACTTGGCCGAACATCCAAGTAGCTGTCCATGTCACCCCTGCAAGAAGAAAGGCAGCCTGAGACACCCTTAGAAGGATTCAAGATTGCGCCGTTGGCCAGTTTGACGTGGCCCTCCAAGACCGCCCTTCTCACCATTTCGTGTTCGCATTTCGGCAACAGGGTGATCGCCTTTTTAATTGCCGGTCCTTCGGTTGCAAGATGACTTCCCCTGAACCAAACCACACCTTCGATGCGCCAAGCGGTTGGCCTCTCTTCGAGGAACGAGGCCTCCCTGCGGGCGGCCAAAGAGACGCTCCGAGCAGTGCCGTGCGAGCTGCTGGCGGGGGACATTGGCCAGCCAGGCGCGACGCACCGGGTGGGCCGGGGGGCTTTGCACGTCCATATTGGCATTTCTTGGCATGGTGTTGGGTGTGATGTGCTTTTCTTTTGGTTTTTGAGGTACTGGACATTTGCATGAAAGCAAGATGCGTCAATTGTTTGAACTTCGCAGTTCATTCTGGACACACTTTTGACACAGATTAGTGCCAGCAGTTTTCCACCCTGCTTTGCCATGCGGAAAATTCTCTTCTGGCAGATGTGTCTGAACATTTCCCGTCTGCAAACATGTCCGTTCGAGATTCCGTGTGTCCGCTGTCCGGTCTTTTAGGCGCCATCTGCGAGGAGCTCCGGCGGCGAGGCGTGGACTGCAGGCGCGACCCACCTCGTGACAATGAACGTGGAGCGTTTCCCTAAGCAACAGAGAGTCTCAGTGTCCCTTTCAGGGGTCTCAAGCACCTTTTGAGGGTCTCAGACTCAGAAAGGTCTTTGGACCCTTAGGTGGGTTTATCTTGAATCCAGTGTGACGGACTGAGGCAGGTGCTGCATGTGCGGTCCTTCCTGGACCACGATCGGCCCTTCCTGCCACCGCAGCGACGGCCAGAAGGCAGGGGCGGCAAGCCGCAGGCCGTTGCGACATGCCTGCAAATCACAGGAATATCCATGCACCTGGTATTCCCTCAAAACATGGCCCACTGAAAAGCTTTTAGGGTTACATCAGCTCCCGGGAAGTTTGATCAAACTGTGCAGAATGGGTGTGTGTGTCTTTATGTTTCTTTGGAGTTGGTACCTAATTTGGGGTATAGAAAAGGACATGACAAGGACACCCACCATTTGGGTGGCCCCCTATTTTGACATGAGTTTCAGGCATTTTGCGCCTTTTTGCCATGCGAGACCCCTTCAGTCAGACCGGATCTGTTCGGTGAGTTCCAGGCGCACGGGCCCGCTTCGTGCGTCACCACTTTGTGGAGAGCGCCTACCTGGACAAAGCCGGCAACCTGCTAGCCGCGGAGGCGGAAAGCGGATTGTTCCTGCGTCATTTTTGCGGACTGCCTTTGGTTGGTATTCATGGTATTCAAAGGAAAGCCAAAGGAAGCCAACCACTTCGGGGCACCATTTGGAGAAACCCTCCGTGTAGGTTCCTTACTTGGTCCAGGCTCGCGTCTTGATGACGGAACCCCCTTTGGATGGGTTTCAAGATAAAACCGGACTCAGGGGCCCCCTGTCCACTTCCATTACTCTTGGAAGGCCCTGTTGGGTGGTGTTTCAAATGGAAGCCCGAAGCCACTCCCAGGCTTGCGCTTTCAAACATTGGGCGCCCACAAGGCCCACTGGGCCGACCACCCTGCTGCTACCCGCTTGTTCCGGTGCTTCTCCACATCGACTCCCCTTGGAACCATCGAGTTCAGAAGTCCCCCATGCTAAGAAAGGTGTCCCTTGTTTTCCATCCAAGATTGGGTTCCCCATTCTGAAACCACCCCACTAAGAAGGGTATCTGCTTGTTTTTGCATTCCAAAAAGGCTTCGACCCATTTCGGGACCCCGGCGCTTAGGAGGTGTACCAGTCCTTGGTGGAACACCTGCAGCGCTGGGCAGAGATCCTAAACGGCCACGGCCTCTGCATGCTGGAGGCCTCGGCGCGCTTCCGTGCGAGAAGGAGTGGAGCACCTGAAGCGGATTTCGAGTCGGACACTTTTGTGGGATCTCGTTGGACATGGATTTATGTACATCAGGTTCAAACATCATGTGTTCGGTTGGGGCTTGGTGGCTTTTGGGGAGCCGACGCGAGGGCTCCCACTGACTTGGATAATTTTCTTTGGTGTTGCCCAGGCGATGTTCGTCATCTCGACATACAGCCTGCTGGATGGACAAAACCCGGCTCCAGTTGGGATGAAAACCCTATGAATACTGGGAAAAAACCACCTACCAACAGGTGCAGGATTTGTCAATCCACAGTACCACCCCTGCAGGTCGAGGATTCCGCGAAACAACAGATCTTGAAGGCAACTCAATGGCTGAAACATGTCAAACTCAAGGCACTGCAGGGAACCTGCAGCAGCTTCCAGGCCATGCTGTTGGACGTGCCCACCACGCGTCGCTACTTCGAGGACAATGTGGATTCCTTAGCCAAGGGGAGATCTCAGTTTGGAGCGCGGCACGCGCGGCGCGTTGTCCTTTTGATGTGGAGGCTTTTTAAGAGGACCCAAAAAGTGAGAGCACATGTGTTTTGAACATGAAGAAAATAAGTTTGGAGCACACGCAGAAGCAGGCAGCAGAACATGGCAGAACAGACGGTGCAGATTTGCGATTGACATAGCCTTGTGACCGTAGAACGCAGAATCTGGGGACTGCGGGTTCGGCACATGCACGTGTCCTCCATCGAAAGTGCTGTGCAATGTTGGCGGATGGCTTTCAGTGTGCCTCCCCTCCCCCCCGGGAAGGATTCCCTCTAAAACATGCCCCTCCCCATCTAAGCCCTGGGCCCCCATTCGTTTGTTCTTTCTTTTTGTGCGCCAGTTGATAAGTGTGTCGCTTGGGCTGACTTAGACATGAGGTCTCCTTCCACTTTGACATCGAGGCGGCCCTCTCGCGGCAGTACCTGGTCCCCGCTGTGCCCTTTTGTATGGCCCTAGCAGAAGCAGGCGGACTCGGCAGTCAGCAAAGCTTTCGCCAGGGTCGGGGGTTGGCAGCCAGCGGGATCGGCATCGGCTGAGCTGAAGCCACTGCAAGGCTTTAGCAGACTTCCTGAAAAGAACCATCCCTGAACCATCCTGGCCATGATACAACTCGCGTTTGCCAGCTGATTTGGCAATCGTCCTGTGGAACAGCTGACGTTTGTGCGCAGAAATGGACACCAGAGAAACCCCATTTTGGTGTTTTCCTGAATGTCAGACACACTCACATGGATTCCATCCTATCCCGCAATCCAAACCACAGCGCCGGCAGGTCTCTTCAGCAGCTTGCAGGGCTGGAGATGCTTCCCCGTCACTAGGCGGAAGGGGCTTGCCCATAGCGAGGCTTTTCCCTTGTTCGGGTGACGAAAGTGATGACTGCTGATCCCTCGTGCCTGCCAGAGCATGGATCCTTTCTGGCATCTGCTTCACATAGTCGCGGCAGCAGGGAAGGCCCTTTCGATATGTCACAAATGGCATAGGTACATGGGGGTTGACCAAAAGCAGGCGCTGTGGGGGCCGCAACAGTTTGTGTCATTTTACAGGGGATCTAACCCCCACAATAAGTCACAGGTTTGTCATCCAATCACGAGCCACGATCACCACTCATACTGAGCCCAACGGACACCAAATTTCTAATGGGATACTTGGCATCTCTACAGCACATAACGATGGATATTACCCGTTTGGTCTCTCATGCATGGCAGTTTCATCGGTCCTTTGGATGAAGTTGTTGCTCTTCTTGCAAGCATGACGCATCTTTGTTTTAGCTACTCCAAGATAGACTCGAACCTAGGGGTTGCCTTTCTGGTGACATCAAGCACCCCTGCGTTTGAGTTGACTCCTTGGCATCGTCAAAGTATGGAACTCTGCGCAGCGTGGCGCCCCAACCTTCCTCCGCTCAAGGAATCTGGGGAGTACTGCCGGATCCTGACGCAGCACTTGCGAAGGCTCGCATGATCTGGGCGGGACTGGCGAGGATGAATTGCATGCCGCGTGGTTGCTTGCTGCTTGGGGTAAGGCTTTGTCACCGAATTCCCAACAAGCTCCAACCTATGCTCTGTCTTCTTGGTGAACTTCCACCAGTTTGTTTTCAGCGATTGTCCTGACTGAGCAGGTTTGTGTTTGGGGTCAAAATAATTAGCCCGAGCAAAATGGTCTTCAAGGGGAAGTAAGCAGAAGGATTTCCGATTTCGAGAAACACACCAAAGTTTGGTGCCCGTCTGGTTTGTGTGGGACAGCTGGTACAGCAAGCCCCCAGCACTTGCCATGCGAAGAAAGTGACACCTTTGAGAAAACGACAAGGGGACAAGGGCAAGGTGTAAAGGAGAACGCTTGTTGGCTTCTCTTCAGAGCTGGGTTCAAGAGGGTTTTTGTGAACCAAGCGTGTTCGCTTTGTTGTTTTGTTTGGGTTGCTGAGGGTTCAGGGCCTCTAGTGTGGATGTTTCGAGTGTGGTTTCAGCTTTGGAGTTACCTGGGGCTTCGGCGCCTTACGCTTCCTGATTTCAATCAGGCGTGCGCATCGACAACTCATGCCTCAGGATCAACCAAACAACAAATCATGATCAAGATTCTAAAGCGAACCACAGAAAGGAGAAGGCAGTGAGAAAGCTAGTATTCTTTGCAGTCTGGAGGGAAGGGCGATTTGTATGTTAGCATCCTGCGTGGAGCTGGAGGAAGGGGCAATACGATAGCCAAAGGAAGTGTAGCAGGAGCTGCTGTGTTGCGGCAACTAATTGAAAGCTGGCTCTCTGAGACAGTTGACAAGAGAGGAATGAGATCGTGGAAAAAATGTGTGCGCGCGTGGCAGGGGAATAGACATGATAGAAAAGTGCAACCCTCACAGGGTTTCGGTGTTTCGGGATGCTCGAAAGTTAGCCTCACATCATGCGTTCGGAGCGTGCACTTTTCGCAACGTTAGTCTGCGTGACAGGCGCAGCGCTTTCGCAAGGTCAATCTCACCCGCCCCAAGTGTCAAGTTGTCTTCAACAGGCTCGTTGAGCCCTGACGTGTCCGAAGACGGCTGGAGCCATTTGTTGACAACCCTTCAACAGCGCTCCCAACTTCAAGCTCTGTTGATTGAGGTTTTCCCGCGATTTCCCCCCGATGGTGGCCAAAGGCTACACTCGGTAAAGCACCAAAAGGCCGTCAAAACGCAGGCCCCGGTTTCAGGTTTGCGCTGTTGGTCTGCCAAGCCACCAACGGGTCAAGCTGAGGCTGTAAGTCATGACAGGCCCAGTTTAACATGGTTCGGTTTCAAGCCACGCCCGCCCAAAACGGCAGGGAGTGGGCGCTGCTGGTGCTTCAAGTTGAAAGCTGCTTGATTGGGGAAACGGCAGTTCCAACGCAGGTCAACGTTTCAAACTTTTCAGTGTTCCGAGCCTATGGCGAAACTGCTGGCAGACTGAAGCTCAGAAATGACGCAGCAGTTTACTGGACACTCCGCTGAGTCATGCCATGTCCAGCATCTTCAGATGCAGCCACCTTGAGGCCAAGGCACTGTATGTGCCCTTTTCACGCTACTCTCGCGTGTGTCAGAGAACTTCAGTGCAGACAGTTTGCATAAACAGTACGCACTGTCATGCTAGACCACTATCGGTGATCCGTCAGAACCAACATTTTAGTGCGATTGTTCCCAATATCTTTTTGACTGTTTTCAGGTTGGAAGACCTCCAAATCGGCGAAAGCGATTCCACGGCCCTTCTTGAGGCAACCCTTCCGGGTGCGCCTGGCGGATCACCGGGACCTGGACACGTTGGAAAGTCTGCAGACCCCCGGCCCCCTGCAGGCAGGGGTTTTGGCGCAGCTTCGGATGTACAAGGTGGTATTACTGTTGTGTCCATTGAATCCCCCCCCCAATACGAATGACCCCCAGCCCAGCAAAGAAAAGCAAAAATGCACCGCGCTTGGGGTGCACGCGGCGCTGGCCTTCTGCGCCAAGGTCTCCCGGGCGCAGCTGGAGCAGCGCTTGCGGTTGGCGCCCTTGGGCGCTCTGCTGGCTGAAGCCGCTGATGGCCCACTGGCGGCGCCTTGAATCGCCAGCCGGAATCGCGGGGAGGTCCCGTCAACCCCCCCCCAAAAAAAAAGAGGGTTTGTGCCAAACTAAAAAAATAAAATATTCAAACAGACATTATTCTGGCTCTCCTTTTGGGTTGCCTGTAAAATGGCCTTCCCTCAAGAAAGGGAATGTTGACCCAACAGTGAAAGATAGTATATAGCATGGACTATCCCTGAAAGTCAACAAGCAGATCATGCTGGGGGGGAGGGGGTTCGGTTCATATCAGCAAAATGGTAAGGATCCTAACGGAAGCACAGTCAGAAGAAGTTATTGGAATGGCTGCGGTCTGAGCAAGGATGTGGGTGATTTGAGTCCAACGCGATTTGCTTTCGCTGTGCTTCATTGGGGCTCCCAGCAGGACATGTATACATGTATGACAATAGGATGTGCGTAGCATGTTTACACATAACGGCACATCCAGCGGTTGTAGTATACATCGTATGCTGTAAAACAGTGCATGGACAAAATCCTGCACTGGTTGGGATGGATCACGCATGTAAAGACTGTGATAAATCACCAATTGGTGCCTGGCGCGGTTTTCGCCCGTCAGTATGACATAGGAACCCGGGTGCTCATAGTGTGCCGTGCTGCATAATTTGTGGCGAGCTCTGGGGTAAAACGAGTTCACTGTGATTTGTAGGTCATTTACTTTGGACCCCTTATGTTAGTTCAGGTTTTGGACACGTAAGTTTTGAGCCTTCGTTTTGAGTCTATGTTGGAGCATACTAGATACGTATATCGCCCCCCCAAGCCTCACTGAGGCGATCTACACCACCCGGCTCCCAGAGGAGTCCCTGGCACGGGCCGAGATCGAGCAGGTGTCGCAGGGGCCGGTGTGGCCTGACAGATGGAGGACACGACCATGGCTCCAACAAACGGAATCAGACGCCCCCCAAAATGGTTTCCCTTCAACCCAACGGATCCCAACAAATTGCCCCCCCCCCCCCCAAAGGTTTGGGGATGTGCAACAGCTGGGACCCCAGAAATGATTGGTTGTTCTGTGGGTTTCCGTGAAAATGCAAACCTGAAAAGCGTACCATCAAAAACACCCGCACCCACAGAGCCATCAAAACCTGGGCTTTCCACTTGCATCAGTTCTATAGTCACAAAAAGTTGCTGGAATCGGGGGGTCACTCACCTTAATGGTTGTGTCAGGACTGTGGGTCTGTCTCAAAATGATGCACCCACCCAAGCGGTGGTGTCCTGTTGGCTTCCCTTGACCGTACCCAAACAGGGTACCCCGAAGAGGGTACCCCCGCAAAAGACGTACCCCAAAAAGGGTACGCATATATCAGGGCTCCTTAAAAGATACATTTTGACCATTTGAAACATGGCTTTTTCCACCAAAATAAAGGGACACCACCATTTACAAGGCAATGTTCAGGTATAATGTAAGGATCCCTGTATATCCCGAAGCTTTCCCCTGGAGCCGTTGCCGAGGTTGCAAATCATCGCCCTCATGGCAGCCCCAGAGGCGGGATGAGCTTGGCATTTGACTAGTGATGGCTTTCTGGTACTTTGTTTGTTTGTTTGTTTGCTTTTTTGTTTGTTTGCTTGCTTGCTTGCTTGCTTGCTTGTTGGTTTGTTTGTTTGGAAACACAAGGACACCCCTTTGTATGGGGGTGTCTCATCTCTCCTTTGCGATAGGAAAACATTGCGATTTTTTGGACTCGGCTTGCCAGGCGCCGGGTGTGGGCGCTCTGCAACTTGGCTGACGGTTGGAGCATCTAAGCAGAGAGTTGCTTCCCACTGTTCTGAGTGTCGATTCCCCATCCTCTTCACCTATCGAGAGAGCGCCCATTTTCACAATGGAAAAGGCAGAACCCCAATATGCGGGGCTAAGTCATTGCTAGCTATCATGTTTTCAGGGTGTAGCTTTAGCGTATCCCGCAACCCATTTTTAGGACCCTTATGGAACCCCAAACGGGGCAGGGTGCTTTCCCCACCAGGAGATTTCCCCAAACATGATGGTGTTGTCCCTTCCATGTTGATCTGGAGAAAAACCATAGCAGACGAAAGGAGCCAGGAAAGCAATTTATCCCTTACAAGGCCCTTCTGGTAAGTTTGCCGCGCTAGCGAAAGGTAAGCCACCTGGCCTGATACCCACAATGGTACTAGCAATCCAGCACTAGCTGGCGACTTCGGAATTCGGCTCGGAGCCGATCGTTGAACGGAGGGAAGGTGGGAAGGGCTTCCCTTGCACAGCTGCACCTGGGTTTATCTCCAAATGGGATGCCAAATTCTTAAAATGGGGGGGATTTCTTCGCCCTCAGGCTGCGGGACTTTGTGCTGCAGCTGGCCCAGGTGGAGGGTGTGCCTCGGAGCGGTTTGAGACTCGGTCACTTTCTGGTGGAGGGAATCCCTTCAAGTTGACGTCATGGGAAAGGACCCACGATATCAGAGGATTTTCCACAACCGTGCTCAGTTTGCGGGAAGGTTGGGGTGGCATTTCGGGGCCATCAACCTCCAAATCAGTGCAGTCCAGGACTTGCACCCCAACTCTCAGACTTCTTTTATCGTGTCTCGGCTGGCTTGCAGTGAAAGCGGCCGCCGACTCCGGAAATGCAGGGGTGGACGAATGAGATGGGGATGCCTACCCCTTCAGAAAGGGGTGTGGCTCACAGGTAAACAGGAGGGGTTACGCAGGTTTTGGTCCATGTCTCCACTTACCCGGGTTCCATTTTGATACCGGTTTTTTGAGCCACTGCCAAATGGAGGGGCATAGTTAGCCCCCAATAATGGGACCCTACGCCCAATACCCCATACACCTGGTCCAATACTAGCACCTCCTTGCACAACAATACTGTTACCCCTCTTGCAAGAACCCTTCACCAAGGGACCCTTCACAAAGGAAAGGACATGGGTGTGAATTCCAATAGGGGATCCTATGGTGGACATCAAAATTTGGTGGGGATTCAGGTCCGCCACAATTGTGAGGCGGTTCCGACTCCTAAACTCGTTGGCAAATGTGAGTGTCTTTTTTTGAGGGTGCCCCTTCTTGATTAGCTTTAAAGGGACACCAACAAAAAACCCACGCTTTTTGAGGGGTCGTCTAAAAAGAAGACACCCAACTGGGGCATGGTGGGCGCGCGGGGCGCTCAGGGAGAGACCTGCATCGGCCTGAGCCGGTGCGGAAGCTGGGCAGGCTCCGGCCTCGGTGCCTTGGGCTGCAGCCGAAGTCGAGTTGGTGCGGATTAACGTGGAACCTACTTGGGATGTTTGGCCAAGTTAGCGAGTGGTTGGCCACTTGGGTATAAGCCGTGCATAGCAAGGTTAAGCCCTCAAAAGTGGGTTACAAACAAGATTAGCAACAACTTACTAACTTGGCCGAACACCCAAGTAAGAAGCGCGGGGTGCCTTTTTGCGTGGTAGTGCCCAGCCGGCCTTCTAATGGTCTTCCAAAACCCTCGCGTAAGCTTCCACAATTGTGGGAAAGTGGGTAGACCTTCATGTTTAGGCACGGGAGCTCCTTTTGGGGAAGGACCCCTGGGTTCACATCTTTGAGAGGAGTATTTGTGCCATGGTATCCCTGTTGACTTTAGGGAATGCAACGGGTCCGTAGCAAAAGACGGGCCACGAGGGCCAATTGCCTCGGCGATGGATCGAGTCCACTTGAACCATGCTAAGCCAAGACTCTCAGAAAACGGGTCAAAACTGGGAGCCAAAGTTTCAGCTGAGGGGAAGTAGACGCCACTCTAAGGGGATTCCTCAAGAGATTGAGAAGAGAAAGGGTCAATGAGTGTTGGGTTGATCTGCCGCACTGCGGATCTTGAGAGCAGATGAGCTTGTTCGCAGGTATGGAAGACTACATCAGGAGCGCCAAGCTGCAAGGGCAAACATTTGGATTGATGGCGGAGGGTTCTGGGAAGTTCTTCCTTCTATTTTGCTTGGCTTTGGTGTTCATTCCCCGTAATCTGTCACTGCCGTATGTGCATGACTTGTGCATGTATGTATGTATGTATGTATGTATGTATATGTCACTTTAGTCAGGGCAGGAAATTCGACGGCGGCGAAACATACCCCCGAAGCATACCCCCGAAACATACCCTCCAAAATGTACCCGTTTTCTAGTTTTGTGCAAAACGTAATCCCCAACGATTAGCGGCTTGCGGATTGCGCGGTTTACGGAGTAGAGAGTGCGGTTTGCGGATTGTGGAATTTGGGGTTGCGTGGGCTTCCGATGCTCCAGCAAAAGGCTCTCACCAACAACATGCCAGTTCCGTAACAACACTTGCAAGCAACGTGCAAGGGTAGACGGGCAGAAGAAGCTTACAAGGAACTTCCGTGATATGGAACTCATTGAAAGTGTGTTCCTGCACAGTGTAGCTATGTTTGGGCTGAGAGTAGTGCACCATGTTTTCTGCGACCCTCGTGGCGTAGCACGCGCAGTAAATTTGTCCCGACATGGATGCGGTTAAGAGAAATGTTCCTTACATTGTGTACATTGACATACATACAAAAACACTTATCCACATATGTATATATACATACATATATATATATATATATGCATGCACGGGCACACATACAACATATGATGCCTTGCCGTTCCGGAAACGGCACTTGCTGGACCTGCGCCCGTTGCTCCTACATCAAGCAATAGAGGCAGGTTTGGTTCTTCTCGCAGGAGACATCAAAGCGGGGAGCTCTGTGACAAGGCACAACAGGGGGAGCCTCGCATCCAACCAGAATCCGCTCGATTCTCACGTGGTGGGGGGGCCCCTCCAAAAGTGAATCCGCACTCAAGAGGGGGCGCTGCCCGATCAGTTTCAACCAGGGGTTGAATAATCCGGGGTTCCCATGATTCAGGAAGCCCCTGATTGTAAGCCCCTGATTGTAATGTTGGCTTCGGATCAATCTGCAGGATCGTACTAATCAGGGTTCGTCTGAGTAGCAGGCTCCTTCGGATCAATCCGAAGTTGTCATTATTCGCAAAACTAAAGCCACCGCTCGCCTTGACAGTACGGCTTTGTTTGGCCGACTCTACCACCTCCTCCCCCCATTTCAAAACCCGGCACCAAGGCCTTTACAAGGCTTATGACTCCCGAACATACATTCGACCTTTGTGCTTAACGGGGCTTTGAGCTTTGTCAGCAGCTTCCTTGCCTTGTCATTTTAAAGTGTGCCGTTTGGGTGGGCGTTGCTCTGAACCGCCTTGAACATATCGCAGAAGTAGTATCTCGGGCCGGTGTCTTTGGCTTGGCTGACTGTCTCCTTCATCAGCTCGCTGGCCGAGCTTCAGTGGGTCAAAGCTGAAGGACCCGTTTCAAACAAACAAAAAACAACAAGAGGAAGCGACAAGGAGAACAACGGAAGGCCGCGCGGCAGCTTTTCAGGGCTAAGGCCTTCTATGTGTTTGTGAACTCTTCTTTGCTCGGGTTTCAAGGGAAACCAGACAAACCAAAACACCACTTTGGGGTGTCCGACTCCATTCTGCATTGAACCCCGGTGACGGCATCAGGAGAGAGTCTGTGTCCGTGTGTCTGTGTGACTGTGTGTTTATGAGTCTGTGTTTGGAGGCTTGGTACCCTTTTGACATTGGTTCTTAACGGGAAACAAAAGGAGAACGGCCATTGCAGTCCAAATCCCTCTGACACCCCGGGAGGTTCTGGGCTTCCACACCCAGCGCGGCGCAAAGATCGTCGGCCTGGCCCCGGGCGCGCGGCCCGTGGACGTGGAGAACCAAGGCGCGGCTGTGGCTCGTTTGGTTCTCCCTTGAAACTCAAAAGGAAAAAGCACAGAACAAGGGATGGCCCTGAAAATGGGTTGCCCGTTGGTTTCACTTTTGGTTTCCCGTTAAAACGCTAGGGGGGCGTTGCCCTCAACAATTAGACATCTCTTTTCCGGGTCAAATGGCTGGGATCAACCCCACAAAGGGATTAGGAAGTTCATGATGAAGGTTTGTGGCAGAGCCGGGGGGGCGGGGGCAAGGAGGGGGGCGGGGGGAGGGGGGGCGGAAGTTTCAAAGAAACACAATAGTTCGGAGCTTTTTCCATCCTCTCCCCCTTCGTTTCCTTCTCGCTCCATGTTGATCGTTTCTCAAGTTCTCTCCTTTTTGTGTTGCCCTTCTCTCTCTTCCCTTCTGCCTCTCACTGTCCTCTTTCCTTTGATTCCTTTGATTCCCTTGATTCCATTGATTCCGTCGATTCCTTTGATTCCTTTGATTCCTTTCATGATTCTGTCTTTCTTTCTTTCTTTCTTTCTTTCTTTCTTTGATTTTTTGATTCTTCCTCTCTTCCTTTCTTCCTTTCTTCCTTTCTTCCTTTCTTCCTTTCTTCCTTTCTTCCTTTCTTCCTTTCTTCCTTTCTTCCTTTCTTCCTTTCTTCCTTTCTTCCTTTCTTCCTTTCTTCCTTTCTTCCTTTCTTCCCTTCTTCCCTTCTTCCCTTCTTCCCTTCTTCCTTCATTCCTTCATTCCTTCATCCATCCATTCTATTCCATTCCATTCCATTCCATTCCATTCCATGTCATTTCATTTCATGTTCATGTTCATTTCATTTCATTTTGTTTCGTGTCATTTCATTTCATTTCGTTTCACTTCATTCATTCATTTCATTCATTTCATTCATTTCATTCATTTCATTCATTTCATTCATTTCATTCATTTCATTCATTTCATTCATTTCATTCATTTCATTCATTTCATTCATTTCATTCATTTCATTCATTTCATTCATTCATTCATTCATTCATTCATTCATTCATTCATTCATTCATTCATTCATTCATTCATTCATTCATTCATTCATTCATTCATTCATTCATTCATTCATTCATTCATTCATTCATTCATTCATTCATTCATTCATTCATTCATTCATTCATTCATTCATTCATTCATTCATTCATTTCATTCATTCATTCATTCATTCATTCATTCATTCATTCATTCATTCATTCATTCATTCATTCATTCATTCATTCATTCATTCATTCATTCATTCATTCATTCATTCATTCATTCATTCATTCATTCATTCATTCATTCATTCATTCATTCATTCATTCATTCATTCATTCATTCATTCATTCATTCATTCATTCATTCATTCATTCATTCATTCATTCATTCCATTCATTCATTCATTCATTCATTCATTCATTCATTCATTCATTCATTCATTCATTCATTCATTCATTCATTCATTCATTCATTCATTCATTCATTCATTCATTCATTCATTCATTCATTCATTCATTCATTCATTCATTCCATTCATTCCATTCATTCATTCATTCATTCATTCATTCATTCATTCATTCATTCATTCATTTTCATTCATTCATTCATTCATTCATTCATTCATTCATTCATTCATTCATTCATTCATTCATTCATTCATTCATTCATTCATTCATTCATTCATTCATTCATTCATTCATTCATTCATTCATTCATTCATTCATTCATTCATTCATTCATTCATTCATTCATTCATTCATTCATTCATTCATTCATTCATTCATTCATTCATTCATTCATTCATTCATTCATTCATTCATTCATTCATTCATTCATTCATTCATTCATTCATTCATTCATTCATTCATTCATTCATTCATTCATTCATTCATTCATTCATTCATTCATTCATTCATTCATTCATTCATTCATTCATTCATTCATTCATTCATTCATTCATTCATTCATTCATTCATTCATTCATTCATTTCATTCATTCATTCATTCATTCATTCATTCATTTCATTCATTCATTCATTCATTCATTCATTCATTCATTCATTCATTCATTCATTCATTCATTCATTCATTCATTCATTCATTCATTCATTCATTCATTCATTCATTCATTCATTCATTCATTCATTCATTCATTCATTCATTCATTCATTCATTCATTCATTCATTCATTCATTCATTCATTCATTCATTCATTCATTAATTCCTTGCTTTCATTCATTCATTCATTCATTAATTCCTTGCTTTCTTCCTTCCTTCATTCATTGATTCATTCATTCCTTCATTCATTCATTCATTCCTTCACTCATTCATTCCTTCATTCCTTCACTCGTTCACTCGTTCACTCATTCATTATAATTCATTCATTGTCTTTCTTTCTTTCTTTTTTCTTTCTTTTTTTCTTTCTTTCTTTCTTTCTTTCTTTCTTTCTTTCTTTTATTCTTGCTTTCTTTCTATCCTTCTTTGATTCTTTCTTTTTTCCATTCTTGCGTTTTACTTTTCTTCCTTTTCTTCATCTCTTCCTTTCTTCCTCTCTTCCTGTTGTCCTTTCCTCCTTTCTTCCTTTCTTCCTTTCTTCCTTTCTTCCTTTCTATTTCTTCCTTTCTTCCTTTCTTCCTTTCTTCCTTTCTTCCTTTCTTCCTTTCTTCCTTTCTTCCTTTCTTCCTTTCTTCCTTTCTTCCTTTCTTCCTTTCTTCCTTTCTTCCTTTCTTCCTTTCGTCCTTTCTTCCTTTCTTCCTTTCTTCCTTTCTTCCTTTCTTCCTTTTTTCCTTTCTTTCCTTTCTTTCCTTTTCCTTTCTTCCTTTCTTCCTTTCTTCCTTTCTTGCTTTCTTTGTATCGTTCTTTGATTCTTTCTTTTTTCCATTCTTTCGTTTTCCTTTTCTTTCTTTCTTTCTTTCTTGCTTGCTTTCTTTCTTTCGTTTTTTCTTTTTTCCTTTTTTTTTATTTATTTTTTTCCTTTCTTCCTTTCTTCCTTTCTTCCTTTCTTCCTTTCTTCCTTTCTTCCTTTGTTCCTTTCTTCCTTTCTTCCTTTCTTTCTTTCTTCCTTTCTTTCTTTCTTTCTTCCTTTCTTCCTTTCTTCCTTTCTTCTTTTCTTCCTTTCTTCCTTTCTTCCTTTCTTCCTTTCTTCCTTTCTTCCTTTTGTCCTTTCTTCCTTTCTTCCCTTCTTCCTTTCTTCCTTTTTCTTTCCTTTCTTTCCTTTTCCTTTCTTCCTTTCTTGCTTTCTTCCTTTTTTCCTTTCTTGCTTTCTTTGTATCGTTCTTGGATTCTTTCTTTTTTCCATTCTTTCGTTTTCCTTTTCTTTCTTTCTTGCTTTCTTTCTTTCTTGCTTGCTTTCTTTCTTTCGTTATTTCTTTCTTCCTTTCTTCCTCTCTTCCTTTCTTCCTTTCTTCCTTTCTTCCTTTCTTCCTTTCTTCCTTTCTTCCTTTCTTCCTTTGTTCCTTTCTTCCTTTCTTCCTTTCTTTCCTTCTTTCTTTCTTTCTTTCTTTCTTTCTTCCGTTCTTCCTTTCTTCCGTTCTTCCGTTCTTCCGTTCTTTCCTTTCTTCCCTTCTTCCTTTCTTCCTTTCTTTCTTTCTTTCTTTCTTGCTTGCTTGCTTGCTTTCTTTCTTTCTTTCTTTCTTTCTTTCTGTCTTTCCTTCTTTCTTTCTTTCTTTCTGGTTTTCTTTCTTTCTTGCTTGCTTTCTTTCTTTCGTTCTTTCTTGCTTGCTTGCTTCCTTTCTTTTTGTCTGTCTGTCTGTCTTTCTTTGTCTCTTTCTCTCTTTCTCTCCTTCTCTCTTTCTCTCCTTCTCTTTCTCCCTCCCTCTCGTGTTCTCTTTCTCTTCTTTTGCTTTCTCTTCTTACTCTTTCTATTCCTCCTTCTCTTTCATTTTCTCATTTTCCTACGCTTTCTCAATCTCTCTCTATCTATCCATCTATCTGTCTGTCCGTCTATCTATCTATCTATCTATCTAGCTATCTATCTAACTATCTATCTATCTATCTACCTATCTATCTATCTAACTGTCTATCTGTCTATCTTACTGTCTATCTACCTACCTATCTACCGAAGCTATCTATCTGTCTATCGATCTACCTATCTAGCTGTCTATCTATCTACTCTATTCTACTCTATTCTACTCTACTGTAATCCAATCTAATCTCATCTAATCTATCTATCTATCAATCTATGTGGTCCCATCTTCGAACCTGTTCCGAGACCGCTCCGAGCCTGCTCCATGCAAGCGTCGCGGCCAAGCTTGTTTGTACACATGCGAAAGAGCCAACTTCATGTCCAGGGCAAAGTGTTCGGCCCAATTCTATTCCCCAGTTCTCGTGTTTTCGAAGCGTTTCCGTAGCTTCTTCACGCGCAGTGCATCCAGTCTGAAAGATCACGTGCACCCGCACGTATTGGGGGAGAGAGCTGGCTCAATTAATTCCAGTACGACGACCGAAGTTCCTTGCAAATTTCCTTTGATAGTCCACCCAGAACAGTGACTGTCGGTTCTGGAACAAAGTAGCCTCCTTCCGCCAATGGAGGTGCGCAGTTGCTCCAAGTGGAGTTTGCGCACCTTCATTTTTGCTTGTGGAATGGCATGGGACTGGTCATGCCTTCGATATGGGCAAGCTTGGAACTAAGAAGACATGTGTTCCTTCTGCTTTGTGGATGAGTCTGTTTGATCCATGCGGAGGGTTTTGCCGATCGATCGGGTGGGCGACTCATCGATGCTTCGCCTGCACCAGGCGGATGCCAGCCGTGTCAACACGGGCAATTCAACGTGAGACCAACAGGCAAACAACCCTTTGGGGGGTCCTCCCTTTTGGGACTTCCAAAAACGGCACTTGCGTCGCAACCCACCAGTGAGTTGTAACGTTTGAAGGGGAAACGCAGTGACCATAGGTGTCCTAGGCGTCAGTTTGGTTCAGATCACTTGCCAGTGCTATCTATCTTGTCAAGATGACACCCTGTTCGGACTCTTGGCCTCGGAGCCCCGAGGCACTGCGGTGCTCATCCGTTACCAGCTGCGTGGAGATGACGAGCCACTCGGGAAGGCGGGGAATCGCTTGGATTTAGAGCTGACCGCTTGGCTCGGTCGCGCAACTTTGCACCTTTGACGGCGTTTTAGGAAACAAGCTAGCCAACCAAATGCGAATCTCATTTTTTGCCAGAAATTCTATTAACCCCCCAATCTGCTGGCTGCTTTTCTGGCAGAAAACGGGGCCGCTTGCTGCTTGTCTCTCGAGGTGCCGATTTCCGCGCCCGAGATCGAGGCCTTCATCCGGGAGGAGCTCGCGCTGAACCTCCAGGCCGCGATCGATGACACATTGGTGGGGGGACCCACTGAATGGGTGTGACGCTCACAAAGGAAACCGAAGAGTAAGTTTTGGGGTCGCCGGAAATTGAGACGAGCCCATGCGGGTGTTGGAAATTCGCGGCTCCTTAAAAGATTGGCCGGTTTGAAGCGTTGTCTTTTGCACCCAAAGGAAGCCCACGGTGGCGTGACGTTCAGATGGATAATCTGAGAACCCTTGAGGCAACAAAGGTGGTGGGGACACTTGCAGAGACAATTGCAATAGTCTCCTCCTTCTCTTTTGCATCCCCAAGTTTAGGGCGCCATCATTTCCGGCGAGTTGCGGATGGGTTAAGCGGACACCCAAGTAGATTGCTGTATGCATGCGTGAAGTTGGAGCAGATCTGCGTCTGCGTCTGCGTCTGCAACTGCGTCTGCGTCTGCGGAATCGCCTATCTCAGAGGATGGTCAGTTTTCCAGACTGTCTGAAATTGGAAAATGAATGGTTGCAACCAAGCTTCTTCCAAATGTCAACGCCAAGGGCTCACATTCTGGCCCTTTTCGAGGAATCAATGTATGGAGAGGGCTTGTACTCCTTTTCTGGGCGGTCCTTTCATTTTCCTTTCCAGGCGACCCCTTTCGAGCTGGTTCTACAGGAAAACACAGTTTTGCGTACTGATCCAATGCTGGATGTTCTAAGAGGCAGTCCAGATGTGCACAACCAATATTTCAGCAAGCTTGAGACGTGGCAAATACTTAAATACTTGGTTTTTGTTGGCCACTTTCTGTGACGTGCAAAGGTCATGGTGAATGGATTTGACAGATGGCAGTCTGTGAGAGCCATGCCGGAGTCCTGGAGAAAGGTCCAACTTTCCGTTGGCCAAAATTCCATTTGCCCATCTGGCGTTCCAATGGAAGTGGAAGTAGGTAGTAGCAGTAGTCATCGTGGTGGTGGCAGTAGTAGTAGGAGTCGCAGTAGTCGTAGTAGTCGTAGTAGTCGTAGTCGTAGTAGTCGTAGTAGTCGTAGTAGCAGCTAAGTAGTAGCTAAGTAGTAGTGGCAGCTACAGAAGGCCATAATTTATAATTTTCAGGTAGCACTCGCTCCGAGAGATCGCGAGGACATGACTTTGAGCCTGGACTCTCTGGAGCTGGCGCAGCTGCAGTCTCGCGTGGAGTCGGGGCCTCACATCGGCCGAGAGCCCAACTTTCAGTACTAGTCCAATCTCATCCTTACTGTTGTCATTGTGATTGTCATTATCATTTTTGCCTTTGCGATTGGGGCTATATTATTGTTAATTACCTTCAATGAGGTCAGCAACCCCCCTTTTTAAGACGATTTCTTCTCCCCTCAATCCAAAAATGGGTCACTCCAATGTCCTGGCATTTCGAGCAAGTGTTTCTGCTTCTTGGGACAGAGGGCACATCCTTGAGCCCAGCGACAAATTCTCTGGCTAAACTAGAGGGAGACATTTACCCATAAGGCGAACGCTTGTCCCCAAGGGGCTGTTTTCCCCCTGGTTTCCTTGTCAATCCGAAGCTTTTGGCTGGAGCAGCCGAAAGAGGGCGTGTTTTCGGAGCGCAAAGCTGTAGGGATGCTGACTCTGGAAACTCTTTTCTTTGGCTTTTGGCGTGCCCTTCGACCTTCAGCCATTTGCAAGATACTTTTTGATGATTAGTTTACCTTTTGGCCCTTTCAACCCGTTTAACCCTGAAACCCTTTAACATAACATCTAATTTGTTGCTGGTGGGACTCCTATTTTTTGTCCTTTGATGACATGCCGCTCACAGAGCAATATCACTCATCTTCTTGCTTTCTAAAAGGACGCCTGCAGGGGTCGGGTCATTTTGGCTTTTGTCCCAGGCCTGTTCGCCGCTCAGCCCCCTTTTTGTGGCCTGTTCGGCAGGCGGCGCTTCGGCGTGCGGCTGCCGCCTGAAGCGCTGTTCAGCGAGGGCGGCGTGCGGGGCCTCGCGGAGGCGGCGGCCAGGCGGGGCAAGGACGTCCTTGCCCAAGGAGAACTCTTGGTGGGTTGCGGGGGCTCACCTGAAAGCGGATCGACCTTTTGACCGTTTAGTGTCTCCTTGGTCGAGAATGAGTCATGGGCCCGAAAGGTGAACCTTATGTTTCTGGGTCGTTTGGGTAGCTGAGGGGAAGCACATGCACGTCGTTAGACAATTTTGAGTTGTGCGGATGTATGGAGGAAAACGTGATATTCTAGCTGATCCACATTCTTTCCAAAAGATGGTTTCTCTTAGTGGCCAAACTTCCCAAGTAAGCATTGTGTTTTCTCAAATGAAGTGACAAGAAGGGGCAACCTTGAGAGCTCCTTTTTGATGAGTGGGAAGATACCCAATTGCTATATGGTTCCGCTCAAGCGAGGCACGTGCATGTAATATGTGGCAACCTCTGGTAAGCTGTGTTTTGCAACCCCGCGGATGTTGCAGAAGAGGGAGCATTTGAATCTTGGCGATTCGCGATGCTTGGTCAAAAGGCCCGTTTATGTCCAGCTGTGTTTTCAAATATCACAGTTCAAAATTTTGCAGGTTGGGCACTGTGTTGGGCATGGGAGCCCTTTCTCGGTTGGTATCCAAGCCACCAGGCCCTCAGGTTGGATCACTGCGTGGCTCCGGGCGAATTGTGTGAGGGTTTGAGCTCTACACCGAAGCCACAATCCCTGAAGGGTAGTTTCCAGGAACCTCCAGAAAGCTCAAATACGGGGGCGTCACTGGCACCTCTTCACCTCTCCAGTGATTTGGTGATTTTCTCGGTTTCCGCGGGACCGACTTGGCTTGGCCTGGTAGTTGGCACTCAGAGAGGTTTGCTTTCTGTGCGTGTGCGGTGCAGGCAAGGCGGGAGAGGACAAAGCGCCTTGGCAAGCCGATGCAGCGCAGTTTTTGCCGCCCTATGGCTTCGGCACAGGGAAGATACCGAAGAGTTTTGGAAGGAATTTGCTTTTCTTGACCTATAGGCATGGCTGATCCTTGGTGTGACCACCAAGGCCCCTTAGATTTGTTGGAAACAAATGGGGTCCCATTAAACCTACAACATGTGATCAACCCCTTTTGCTGCTTGGGGAAGAGCAATTCAGGATGGCACCAGTATTTGCCCAGAAGAAGCAGATGTGATCACTTGGTTCGACGCAAGACGTGCATCAACCCAGGGTATCTTTCTTGAGACTAAGCCCGTTCACGGAATCCCCCTATCCACTTTCATTGGAAAGAGGGCCTCCAAGCTTCCATTGTTTTGGTTTCTCCCAGAAATGACTCTCACCCCGTGGCTGGGGATTCCAACTAAGTAGTTCGTTCATTGTTCTATTTTCCCTTTGTTGTCGGACAACCAGACACATGGAATCGGGCACCGCCTTCACGTGATAGGAGGGATACTAACTCCTGCTTTGTTAGATCGTGCCCATCGCAGACATCAAAGCTGGACATCTGAGTTTTGCCCCTTGGCAACAGACTCAAGTATATCCGCTTTTTGTTCTTAAACCTTCTCAGAATCAGAGATGGCTTCGTAAGGGTTCCTGCTACCGGGGGATTCCTTTCTGGCTGGTGAATGCTGTGATTTGCTCAGGAATCCTTCCAGAGCCATCGTTCGCCATCTGAGGCGCCCCCGAAAGTTTGGACGCGAAATCTGTGGAGAGCTTCCTCTCGGAGGTGCTCGGCGAGGCCGGCAGAAGGATCCGTGACGCCCTTGACGCAGTAACGGTCTTTCCTATGGGTGCCCATAAAAGGGGACGGCTTGGGCAGTTTCTCTCCACATACTGGAAGGGCCACTTCCTGTAGATTCCTGCAGAGGCAGGGAACATCGCAGATCCAGAGCGTGTTTTGGCTTCGCTGGGTGGGACGAGTCCTTGGGCAGGGGTGAGAAGGGTCCGATTTGTGGCTCAAACCTCCTATTTTGCTGCTGTTTAAAGGGGATGAGGAACCCCCTCACAGCCCCGGGGAAGCCGTCACACCAAGATGCTAAGAATGGGAAGAACAATCATCGGACGTAGCCGGCCCCGTCGCCCGCTTCCATGATTCTGGGCAAATGACAGCGAAGTCACTAAGGGGGTTTGCGACGTCACCCATGAAGGCTTCTTTCTTGGGGGGTCCCTTATTTTCGGCCGGCGAATCATCTCCTGGCCGACAGTCACCGAGACTTGGTTAGTGCATTAACATGTGTCGAGATTGTTGAAGAGGCGACACGGCTCGACCCACGAAGGCAAGAGAGGGGGGCCCGAGAGTTCGTCGCCAGGGCGAGGAGCGCGACTCTTTGGACTTGGCGCCCTGGCAGGTCGACGGGTTTCGGAGGCGGAGGCGTCCTTTTCCTAAAAGCTCCGCTGGTGAAAAAAGCAATATGGACACCAAATGGGTTGACAACCAACAAGGCAAAAGGCAACAGTTTGTCACATCCAATGCATCTGGAAACATATGGCCACAGTTTTTTCCCATGAGTGCTCGTTTCTGCACCTGAAGTTCCACGGGGTTGGATCAAGAGCATACTACATCTTCTTCTTTTTTTTTTCATCTGCCAACATCTGACTGGGATCGGAGGCCTGGGGTTTGTGGGCCATGGACCTCCGAGCCTTAAGGCCTCAAGGGCGCCAGAGACCGATTTTCGCCAAGGCGCGGCTGCAGTCCCAGCTGCGGCGCCGCTTCCAGGTGGACCTCGGCTTCGAGGAGGGGGGTGGTGGAGGGGATACGGCTTCGCGTACGTTGGGGGTTTACAGATCCCGGGGTGCTCAACACCCAGATTGGTTCTGTTTTCTTTTGTTTTTGGTGGTCAGAGTACCCACATCCACCCTTTTGAGTCATTCAAGGTGAGTACAGGTTGGACGTTCAAACATCCACCCTCTTGGTTAATGAACCTCCTTTGCTTCGGGGACATTGCGCACGAGAAGGCATGTGCCGGGGTCATAAGATCAGGAGGTTCTGGGTCCAAAGCGGCCCATGGCTTGAGACTGTCTCCACAGAGGCTCAAGCTGCCTGCGCCGAGGTTTCAACTGGCAACAGGAAAAGTCTGCCCACAGCACCAGCACCCACCGCACATCCGGAAAGTCCAGAGCGGCGAGCAGCAAAAACGGTCCAGTCGTTGCGGGCATGCGCATGGCTCATCACCGGAGCTTGGGGTGGCTGGTCCTGGTGCTCGTGCTGATGGGGGCCTGGCATTCCAGGCGCGAGAAACACTTGCCGGGTTGCGCAGCTTCCTGGAAAAGGGGCAAGTTATTGTCTGCCGATGGAAACCACTGGTCAAGTAAGGTTGCGCCAGTTGTACACTTCTTACACCCGTTGATGGATTTAGCTTCCCCTCCCAGCTACCACCACATTGCTGCCTGACCCGTTACAATTATGGCAGATGTCACGTTTGGCGCACACCCAGTGAGAGCAAACCGATACACTGGGGGCGTCTCAAGTTTGCCCAATGACGCGCCAAAGTCAACAAGGCGGATATTCAGCTCACGGGAGACACTCTAACCATGTCTACCTCAGCAGTCTTTCCCCATGGGCCTGACCACGGTCTTTCTCCCCTGCGGTAGTTTGGTGGTTTGGTTGGTTGGGGACTTGAAACCACCCCGCACCACCAAGAGGTAAGCTGTGGCTGTTCCAGCGTTTCAGTTGCCTTTGTACCGACAGCAAGAAATCAAAGTTCCTGTTCCGTCGGGTTGCTTCCCAACCGGGTCCCGAAGTGACTGGCGCCTTGCGCGCCTTGCGTGCCTTGCGCGCCTTGCGCGCCTTGCGCCAGGGGCATGGCACAGCTCCAAGCCATGGAGAAGCCCTTGGAGCTGCAGAAGTTCATGGGCTCTTGGTATGTCCTGGGCCACATCCCTGTGAAGCTGGCCAAGGAGAAAAATCAGATTCCGGGGTTTCTGTCGGAGATGTCGAGGAAAAAAACCTGAGCAGAATTCGGGGAATCCCCAAAAGCCGACTTGCCCGCAAGGGGCAGGTTAGTAGGTGGTTCGCCTCTTACTCGGATTGGGATCGTAGAAGGGCTTGTGTAGTCATCCCCCATCTTTGCGTAGCCACAAGTCAATGAGCTTTGGACACGCACCCCAGCGAGTTCCGCGTCACTGAATTTCTGGGTGAGGCGGTAAAACAGGCGATTTGACCCATGATGAAGGTCCCTTACTGTAGGGGGGAGGGGGAATTCTGCTTTATAATATGAATTTTGTAGTTGCCCAAACTTAATGGGCACCCAGTTGATCGATTATCCCGGGGATGCGAATCTGTGATTCGTCAACCCAAAGAGGATCCGGCTGGATTAATGACCCTGAGGACACATCCCTTGATCCAGTTTCAGTATTCCGGGGTCGACACTAGTGAAAGAGCTGACAAACACCGAGGGGAATTCCACCTCGGCTTTCTCAAGGATTCCTCATGTCAGATTAGGCATACCCAGCAGCTTCCGATGAGTCCCCAAGGGGATCCCTAAATTGTTTCTACCCTACACATGAGCTTTTTGTGGAAGTTAATATTTCAGAGGGAAACATGAGACTCCTGGCTCGGACCCGTGCCAAGTTGTGAGCGTTGTTGGTTCGAGGCGCTTGATCCTTATCATCGGCTCCACTGGGGACCTTGGCCCAAAAAGCGGTTGGCAACTGACCGTGCCAATCGAAGAAGCTCAGCCGTGAGCTTCGGCTCATTTGTGCCGACGTGCAAGGAGCACTTGGCTTACAATGCCGTAGAGACCTACTCTTGGGATGCTGCCAAGAAGCAGATCAGCGTCCACTACAGGCAGGGCAATGCCCAGTGGTTGAGAAGCTCGCCCGGTCTCAACCCAAAGCTGCGGGGCGGCGGCTACCCTCTCCACTAACATAGAACCCACCAGGTGGTCCCTACGGACGGGGGTCTTCCAGGACCCCTCGCCCCCCAGTCAGGTTCCATGGCAATGTGGATGGGGGGCTACCTCTCCTATGTTTGGGGCATCTTTTCGTACCTTTCAGATTGAAGACGCTGCGAGCCCCGCAGGCTATGCTTTTCACCTCGGGGTTTTCCTCGTGGAAATGTCCCAAGGCTCACAGTGTAGTGGCCTTGATGTCAAACATGAGGGTGTTTGTTTTTGAGGGTAGCCTTTTTGAGTTTGTTGAAATGGAAACAAAAAGGAACCCGGCTATTTTAGGGTTCTCCTATTTCAAGACAACCCAGAAGTTGGATGTCGCACAAGGGGGTGTGAGATAGTGTGAGAAGCGACTGCTGAAAGCACCAAGTGTCATCATCCCCGGCTGGTAGGCCGGCTCCAGGCACTTGGCCGGCCGCGCAGGTTCAACGAAAAGGCGGACGATGGGAGCATCAATGACAGCTACCAGCGCGGATGGGTTCACAACGAGGACGGGGCGCCTCACCGAGCAACAATGAGAAGCTTCCATGACGCATTGTGACATCTTCCGAAGCCACGTGTGGATGCCTCGCTTCATGTTGTATTGCCACCTGGGGCCCCAAAAGACTTTTTTTTTTGGTCAAAAGGCTTTGCCCGAAAAAAAGTGGTCATACGGCCAAATACGTTTTCCTTCGCAATATTTTATCGACAATTATACGGCCAAATACGGGCAACTAAGGCAAATGACCGAACAATACAACCTTTCGGGTAAAAACGGGCCAAATATGCCTTTTGACCGAAAAAAAGTAGCGTTTCGGGGCTCCAGGCATTGTAATACAGAACCTTTCATCTGAGACTGACAGGCTCTCAAAGAACCAAGACTAAAACACATCTGGCTCGATCCGGCGCATTTGGCCACACTGTCTGAGAGACCAAATGGCCACAGGATGGGATGCTCGCGCTTCTCCTTAAGGCAATTGACTCGGAATCAAGCCAAGGGTGTAGGCAACGACGATTTCTCCCTTCAGCTTCAATGCTGTGACGTTGTTCTCACAGGAACCGGGGCGAATGCTCAGTGATAGTACAGACTGGGGAGCTTTGATGTTGTTTCCTTCCTTTCCCTCTCCCCCGATCTCCCCTGTCTGTTTCCCTCAGCTGTCGCGGGGACGGGGCTCGGTCTGCAGGAAACCAGCGCGGAGTGGCGAGTGTCGCCAAAGCTGCCGATCCTGGGCTATGCGCCTCGTGCATGCGTGAAGCCTTCCATGCTCACTGCTGACTCAGGGATTAGAAAATGGGCCATTTTCCCAGGAGGAGTGGCGGCTTGTGAAGGGAAGGATGGGTGAAAAGAACCGGGGGGGGGGGACCAACCCTTAGATGGCTTTACCACAAGAACGATAGATGAAGAAATGGAATCAGCCCTTAAAGTTGAGCCATTCGAATGGGTGGATGGCGAATTTTGGGCAGTGGGCGAACTTGTAGTCCTCTAAACGCCTGGGGTGTGTTGCGTCAGGTTGCGCCCCAAATCCCAGCCTGGTTTGGGGAACCCCAAAAAATGACGGCGCGAAATGTCACCTTTGTTGTGCGCCCAAGAATGCCTGTTTCCTTTCAGTTTCCCTTCAAGGACTATCGGCCTTATTTGGGGGTGTCCTAACAATTGGAAAAGAGGCCCCAAAAGGGCCAAAGCTGAATCTGGGTGCATTGAGTAATTAACTGAGTAGGCAGACAGGTTTGTGCTTGTCTTGCACGGCTGTTTTCGGCGTCAGGTCAAATATGAGCACAACCAACAAGAGCGACAGGCAGATGAGCATGGAACCCACACAACCATCATTTTTTGGGGACCCCCTTGTTTGATTCCACGTTAATTTCCAGAGGAGTTGGTCCTTTGGAGAGCTGAGACAGGCGTTGAGTCACCTGGGCTTCAAGCTGCCGTACCTCATCGTGGACTGCGCCAAGGACTACAGCACGGTGCCGTGGTTCCGATCAGAGACCTGGCGGATGCTGTTCATCTCACTGTGGTTTGACCATTTTCTTTTCGTGGCGGCTGTAAACGAACATGCAAATTTATGCTAATATACCAAGGGTTGTTGGGAAGTTAAGGGACGGTCCTACCCGGTTTGGTTTGGAGGTTTGAAATCAGTTGAGACAAATTCGGGTATTTGAAGCTTTGGGCACGTTGACATCGGCCATCGTGTGTTTTTGGCCGAACTCTTAAACCATCCCGAAGGGTCCCCATTTGTCCCGTCCTTTTGATTCTTTCCAGCAAACACTCAAATTTGGAGGATTCTTGAAGGAAGCCGATGGCGGTTCACACTGTACTCGATGAGCCAAAGAGTGGGACAGGGCGGGTCTGGAGCGTTGGAGGTTACAGGAAGGTTGTGAATTTCGTCTTGGGGTTATGTTTCCCCCGAAATGTCGATGAGTTTCTCAGTTTCTCTCCTTGGATGAGCCGGGTGTACTGAACAAAGGGCGACATATCTAGCAAAGGGAACTAGGGGGTTTCTCGAAACTGAGGCTCCCCAAAAATGGCCTGGTTCCCTTTTGGTTTCCCAGCAACGCCTCGTTCCCTATTCTCAGACAGCGTCCCATGCCTGGCCGAAGGCCATCGTGGGCTACCCGAGCCGTGCCTATCTGTGGATCATGAGCCGCAAGCCCGAAGTCTCGGACGCAGAGTACCAGAGCCTTGTCGACAAGTCCAAAGCCCTGGGCTATGACGTAGAGCGCCTCGGCTATGGAACACTGGAACTGCTCTTCGTCCACAAGGCAAACGAGCGAAATGAATTCTTCAAGGGAAAATAGGTACGCGCTTTTCCCTGGGTGCCTGGCCCCAACATGTACCACGCATATACCCTCCACACATGCTCCGCATATAGATGGCTTTCCATCCATTGACGGCAACGTATGAATCTGTTTGACGCACCTCCCCAAGAAGCACGTAGTTCTTTTGCTTGACTTCCGGTCACACCCCCCCACCTGTCCTGTCCCCGGGCATGTCCCTGTCGGCAGGAAGATCCGCAAGGTGCCGCAAAAGCCGGGCCAAACCTTTGCAGTGCCGTGAGGCCTCGGGATGAGACACGGACGCGGGCGCACAAGTTCCCGAGCACAAGTTTGTGTTCGGTCCCCGCCAGGTGTTGTTTTTCAGGTAACCCTTAGTTGGTGGTTTGGACTGAAACCACCAATCCAAATTTTGCGTTGGGGTTTGATTTGGTCATCCCCTTTTTCTCGGAATTTCCAGTTCTGACTTGGACTTCGGATTTGTTGAGCAAGACCCATTTGTGTGAGATGCAACATCCTTTGACCTGGCGCACCTTGTCCATAGGAGCGTGGCAGAAAGCTGCCCTTGCCTTTCCTTGTGTCACTTGTGGGTACATTCATGTTGCTCAGGGAATTCTCAGTGGATTTTGGTAGCATGGAGCTGACACAACTTAGATATTTATGCGGCCTTACACACTTTTCTGATTGGTGGTAGATAAGCCATGACCCATATACCTCCACAACCCATACCTGCGATTGGTGTTGACTTAATCCCGGGTTTCTGCCGCATGTGAGCCATCGCGATCCCCTCCGGCCATTGCCGGGCAGCGAATGCTGTTGGTGTCAAATCGCGGATGAACAGATCTGAGTCTGGCAGCGGAATCCGGGGCCAAAGGCGCACAGTGGTCAATTTTTTGTAGCCTCTTCGCAAAACAAAATGTTTGTTCCATGTGCGCTGTCCAGGTTTCTCTTGAACCCAACCTGGATCAAGAACAGTCAAACATGTTGAAGTGAATTGGTTTTAAGAGCCTTTGGCTTTTTGATTGCGGCCAGGCTGGCAGGCAAGTCCCTTGCATTTTGCCTCCCCCCAGTTTTCCTTGGTACAGGCTCAGGGACCGTTGTACAGCGCCTTGGTGTTAAAAGAAAAAGGCGTGCAACGGGTCTCAGAAGGCCAAGTCCCTCAATTTACCATGGACGAGCGGGAGCAAACTGTTGGACCCAAGTTGGTCAATTCTTGAGATCAGCTTTTTGCGTTTGGGTAAATCCAATTGATCAACTTTTGGACATCCGATTCATCAACTTCGGGCTTGGGAAATCCAATGACCAGCTGGCAAAATGCGAGGCAAAAAAAGACGGCAGCCGCGCCTTTTCCGGATATAGCCGGGCTGCAGGCGTGCGCGCGCGGCTTGCGCGCCCCCGGCTGTCGTGCCAGGAGTTGGCGGCTGACCGAGCAGCCCTCACCGAGGCGAGTCTGGTTGCCGTTGGCAAGGGGCTGTTTACACATCGGTTTTTGGATGTTTTGGTGGACATCATTCAGGTGGCGGATTCATGTCCACCAACCACTTGTGAGATGGTCCTTTTTTAACCATCATAGCCATGTATACATGCTTTGCTCAGTTCAACATCGGTTGATTCTCGGGTGATTCTTGTCTCTCTCACACACGCAAACGTCAAACTTCTTCTCACCGAGGAGTTGAAGTGAGCTTACAACAGTCATGTAATCTCTTCCCCCTATTAATAAATATGCCCCCCCCCTCCCCTATTATAAATAAATCCTCCCATTTTGTTTTGTTAATTGGGGTTTTTGGGGTTGGTTTTTTTGCTTTTCCAACAATGTGAGGGTTCACATAGGATTTGGAGGAAATGGATTGAATTGTAAGGTCCGCGAGAAAGCGGTTTAATAAGGAAATTTTATGTATCATTCTATTTCAGTTTACTGGTTGTTTGTTTGCAGCCAGGCAGGTTAGCCAGCATGTACGGGGGAGAGACAGTCGCAGCTTAAAAGTGGGGCTGGAAGCTTGTTAAAAGTGCCCCCTAATAAGGATTCCAAGACTTTAGTATTGGTTTAGTATTGGCGCAATTAAAAATCAATTGTGCGGAGTGGAAATCTGGTCCCGGGCCCCGGATTTCCATTTTTTATTAATTGGGGTCATTAATTAATAGGGGGAAGAGATTAAGCTGATAGGTGTCATTTCTGCGCTGAGGCAAAGTGAGAATGCACCTTCCAACACTTCCATTCAAGAACCCTTTCTTGTGGCTGGTAAACGGCGTTTTCACATTCCTCACGAAGAATCGGGAAGTTTCGACATCGCCCATTCCCTTCCCTGTTTCCCGTGTCACAAGGAAGCGTCACCCGACTCTCAGGCCGTCCTGCGCGCCGCGAGAGGGCGCGGATGAAAAACAGACCGGGGTTGTGCACCTTTTAGATTAGGCATGCATCCCTCAGGCTATATGGGGTTTTGGACAGCTACAAGGTGTTTTACAGGCAACCAGGGCCATGACCCAGTCTTTGAGATTTCACATGCTGGGAAACGCAACCGCTCCCAATTGGGTAGGGCTTTTTGCGGAATCCATAAGGACACTTGTCTGATTTGTTGGGAACACCTTGGGTGCAAACCCCAGCTTGCGGCATTTTCAATTTGAGTGTGCATTGGGTGGGATTTTGCCATGTGTCTGGCCTGTCAATTGTTTGTGTCGTGCTTTTCTTCGCGGTTCGACTGTATATAGGATCTTTGGCTGTGTTGCAGATAGGATCGTGCCGGTGTGCGGACGTTTCCGAGGTCCGTGTCCTGTTCCCCAACAAGCCAGTACGGGGCCAAGCCAGTGACAAGCCGTGAGAGGTCGGTGTGGGGCAAGTTCAAGGCGAAAAGCATCCCGTCACCATAAGATTTCGTCCTGCGGGCCTCGCATGGAGCTAACACAGCGATGCCAGCTCCGGGAGCTTTCGGGATGGTGCCGTTTTGCAACCATTTGAAAGGGGTCCACCATTTTGTCAATCTCCACGTTCCAGTCTCCAGGAAGCGTGATTTGTGCCATCCAACCAGCGAGCGGCTTCATTTGCCATCCAGCGCGCGAGGACATGCTGCGAGCTCGAGATATCCATTACAACAAGTGGCGCGAGGCCCCAATTGGCATGGGCTCTACAGGCATCGGCCAGTCGGCTCCATGGAACCAGAAGGCCCAGTGGCAAGTGTTCTTTTTTGGGTTTCCCTCTCATCCAAAAAGCGACCCGCCCCAATTTTCGGAGACGCGCAGTGGGGAGAAAAATCCCGCGGCCGCTTGGCTCTCAGCCTTCCGCTTGCCCGCGCGTTCTGGTTCCTCGCCCGTGACCATGACGGCGGGCTGGTCGATCGTTTTCAAGGCTTCAGGCGGCAATCAGCCACTTTTGGGAAACCTTTGAGAAGCAAACGGAACCCTGGCTGGCGTGATCTTAGGCATGGGGCAAAAGGCACGATGACCCACATGTCGAGCTCGCGAGCACCAGCCCGAGTCTGAGCGAGCGGTCGATTCCAGGCAGCACCCGGCTGTGCCTGCACAACCTACGAGATTTTGAAAGCCGGCTCCGGCAAGGCGGCGGCTTGAGGGTTGAGTCGAGTTGCACGCTCGTTTGAGAAAGCTTGAGAGGGTGTTTTCTCCAAACGCCGGCCAAACAAGTTGACATAGGGCGACCCACAAATGAATTTCGGTTTTGCGTTTTGCTTTTGGCCTCCCATCAACTTTAAACCAACCTTAAAAAGGTCCAAAAGTGCTGTTCGGAGCCTTTCGCAGGGGGGGGGGGTTGAAGGCCATCACAGCTGGCAGCAACCCAACGGTCCACGCAACCGGTGTGGTGAAAGAGAGCCTCAGGCAGCAATGGAGTCCGCAGGTTCAAAAGTGGTCGGGTGGTTTCCCTTTGAAGCAGGCTACCAGCAACGCCGGTGGAGCCTGGGGGTTTGCGGGGAAGCTTGAAAAATCCAAGAACTATAGTTTGGAGCACGCTTCTTGTTGCATCCCCTTCTCTCTCTTTCTCTCTTTCTCTCTTTCTCTCTTTCTCTCTTTCTCTCTTTCTCTCTTTCTCTCTTTCTCTCTTTCTCTCATTCTCTCATTCTCTTTCTCTCTTCTCATTCTTTCTTTCTCTCTTTCTCTCTTCTCATTCTTTCTTTCTCTCTTTCTCTCTTTCTCTCTTTCTCTCTTTCTCTCATTCTCTCATTCTCATTCTCTTCCTCTCTTTCTCTCTTTCTCTCTTTCTCTCTTTCTCTCATTCTTTCTTTCTCTCTTTCTCTCTTTCTCTCTTTCTCTCTTTCTCTCTTTCTCTCTTTCTCTCTTTCTCTCTTTCTCTCTTTCTCTCTTTCTCTCTTTCTCTCTTTCTCTCTTTCTCTCTTTCTCTCTCTCTTTCTCTCTTTCTCTCTTTCTCTCTTTCTCTCTTTCTCTCTTTCTCTCTTTCTCTCTTTCTCTCTTTCTCTCTTTCTCTCTTTCTCTCTTTCTCTCTTTCTCTCTTTCTCTCATTCTCTTTCTCTCTTTCTCTCATTCTTTCTTTCTCTCTTTCTCTTTTTCTCTCTTTCTCTCTTCTCTCTTTCTCTCTTTCTCTCTTTCTCTCATTCTCTCATTTTCTTTCTCTCTTTCTCTCTTTCTCTCTTTCTCTCTTTCCCTCTTTCTCTCTTTCTCTCTTTCTCTCTTTCTCTCTTTCTTTCTTTCTCTCTTTCTCTCTTTCTCTCTTTCTCTCTTTCTGTCTTTCTCTCTTTCTCTCTTTCTCTCTTTCTCTCTTTCTCTCTTTCTCTCATTATCTTTTTCTCTTTCTCTCTTTCTCTCATTCTTTCTTTCTCTCTTTCTCTCTTTCTCTCTTTCTCTCTTTCTCTCTTCTCTCTTTCTCTCTTTTCTCTTTCTCTCTTTCTCTCTTTCTCTATTTCTCTCTTTCTCTCTTCCTCTCTTTCTCTCTTTCTCTCGTCCTCTCTTCTCTCTTTCTCTCTTTCTCTCTTTCTCTCTTCCTTCTTTATTTCTTTTTTTCTTTATTTGTTTTTTTCTTTGTTTCTTTCTTCCATTCTTCCGTTCTTACTTTCTTCCATTGTTCCGTTCGTCCTGTCTTTCTTCCTTCCTTCCTTCCTTCCTTTCTTCCGTTTTCCTTCTTCCTTTCTTTCTTTTTTCGTGTTTCTTGCTTTCTTTCTTTCTTTCTGTCTGTCTGTCTGTCTGTCTGTCTTTCTGTCTTTCTGTCTTTCTGTCTTTCTGTCTTTCTGTCCTTCTATCTCTCGCTTTTTTTTCTCGTTTTTTTCTTCTTCTTTTTTCTTTTTCTTTCTCTCTTTCTCTTTTGCTCTTTTTGTCTCCTTTTTTATCTTTCCTCATTTCTCTCTTTCTTTTTTGCAATGTTTTTCTTCCTTCTCTGCTTATTGATTTGTCTCTTTCTGCTTTTCTCCTTTTCTCTTTCTTTCCATCTTTTTCTTTTCTCTCTCTTTCTCTCCCTCTCACTCTCACTCTCTCTCTCTCCCTCTTCTCTTTGTCTTTCTCTTGCGCCTCGTCTTTCTCCTCGTTCTCCTTGGATGATTGCACAAGCCGCAAACCATAACACAGCAAACACGAGTTTTTTCAGGTTGACCCCCCGAAAGTCCGCAGAGGGTTGCTTGAGCAAAGTGAAAATCGTTAAGCACAAACAACAACGAGGTTTTGAAGGTTGACCTGCCCAAAGCACGCAGAGGGTCTCCGAACCCGTTCCCCAGCTGTCGCGTTTTCCAGCTTTTTCGTAGCTGTTGTACACAAAGCCACTTTCCTTTGTAGCATTGTCAGTGACTCATGAACCGACCACACTCACTGGCCAGGAAGGCCGTCCAAACTTTTCGGGGGAGCCTATTTTGTGATCCCCCGCCAATCTGTGTTTGTGCCTCAGCCGGGGGGTCCAACAAATCAGGTCGGGGGTGGAAAAAGAGGAAGCAAGGAACCTGGGAGAAGGGAATACCTTTTCAAGTCCTGTGGCGTTGGACTTGTGATCAGCCTTTGCGGAGACGGGCATGAAGGCAGCCTTGTCAAGGGTTCCATACACGTCCGACCTATACACATCATTGGTCATTTGAAATCTGATGTTTCAAACCCAAACAAGGATATTGATCCAAAGGACTGTGCAAATCAGATGTGGTTCTGGTTTGAGTGGCCCGCATACCCACCCAGCGACCCTCACACAGGCTTTCTCACCCGCCGTCTCACCACCACCCACACACCTCGCTGTCCCACCCACCCGCCCACCCACCTGCCTGCCCGCCCGCCCGCCCGCCCACCGGGCCGCCTCACCCACAATTATGTTCTTTTTGATCTCTTTGGGGCGCAACTGAGGACTGGCAAGAAGTTTTGGAGCACCAAGGACCCTGGACAGTCGCCGTTCAGCTATGAGGCGTTAATTTGGGTCGGGTTTGGCATAGCCGGCAGGGGCCGCAAAACAAGTACGTTGTTTTGCTAGCATACCAGGGTTTGGGAAGAAATCCAGGCAATATCAACCAGGATAGTCGAAGGCTACGATTCTTGCTTGTATGTGGTTTGTGTACCAGTTTTTTTTGGTGTCTTGCTCAAAAACGGCCGCGATTAGCTTCCTTGCCCTTGCTCGAATGCGAGCCAGGCGGGCCGTGGTAAGGCAGGGCGCTCAAACGCATGCCGCCCCTTTTTCCGTGGACTTGAACACAGGAGTTCGCGAATGCCAAAGGGCTGGGACCCCTGAAGGGAACATGTTCAGGGGTTCTCAGAATGATTTTGAGGGTGACCTCCCTTTAAGCTTCCGCGTGTACAGGGAATTTTAAGGATTTCACTCAAATGTACCCACAAGATGGGTAGTCTTTCGGGGAAGCCAAAGGGCAACCGCCCATTTTGACACCAAAAGGTCCTGTGGCTTGAAACGGAAGAGCCACAGGCTGACAGGGTTTCGTGAGACGTTCCTGGCTGGCTTGGGTTCCTTCCCCAGGACCCATGTCCGCCCGGACTCTTCGACCTACACGGTCACGACACCTGAGCCAGTTCGGGTCGAATGAGAAGCTGAGGTCATCAAAGGATGGGACCAGGGCTGCCTCGGCATGCAGGTGGGCGAGGCCAGGTCTTTGCGCTCAAATCCTCGGGAGAGACCTGGCTGTGATTTTGTTTTCGTGGGCCCGAAATGGTGGACATCAGAACTCGGTGAGAATTTCTGTCCACCAAAAATCCTGAGATGGTTCCGACTGTTGAAACTCCACAAGTAAGGGTCTCGACTGGTATCAGCCCCATTCCGCGCTCCTGCAGGTTGGTTTCACCGTTGAAACAAGCTCGGCCATGGGTCACCGGATGTTTCCTTCCCAAGAGTTCAACTCACTAGCGGTTTCCACAGATTTTGCCAACACTAGGTGGCTAGATAAATTGATGGACTGTTAACCGGGGGCCTTCTGTTGATGCCAGGAGCGCAAGATCACCATCGGCGGGTCGGAGGCAGTTGCAAGCGAGTGGACGTGGTTGGAGCACGATGTACTAAAATGGGAAATGGGGTTGTCTTTTCTGGAGGCGACCCCCTAAAAGGATTGTTTTCCTGTCGAAATCCGAAGGATTCCACCAGGAAAGCAATCATTTGTAGGATCCCAAAAGGGGACTCATGGCAAGCTGACCATTGAAACACGGAATTCCTCCAGTTCCAGTCATCACAGGCAACGGATTTCAGGATTCTGTTTTCTTTTCCAGTTTCCTTTTGGTCAGGTAACGCTTTTGTCGAGGGAAAATGGAAGCCACTCTTTAAACACCAAACCATCAATTAGTTAGCGTAATTGTTAGATGGAAGCCGACTGTTGGTGCTGTGATTTCTTAGCAGTTGGAACTCTTTTTAACGAAAGCTTCTTCAATAAACATCTCCGAATGATCTTTGATTGATTCCACCAACGTGATTCTTACTCAGTAAACTGGGTGTTTGCGCCTTCATGCTTCGGTATTTTCCAGACACTGTCATTCCGATTCGGATGGCGGTTCCCTGTTCCTTTGAACCCCCAAGCAGTCGCTGCCCCACCTCGCCCCCCAAAGTCAGTACCCTTTGCACACCTTTGGTACCCTTTGGAATTTCCCAAAAGAACCGTCCAGACATTCAGCCTCCCCCCACCAACGCCTCAAAACGCGTCGAGCCTTTCGGGCCCCGAGGGCTACGGCGCTGGGGGCTTCCCTGCCTGGGGCATCCCGCCCAACGCCACCTTGGAGTTCACTTTGGAGTGCCTTTCGGTGCGCCGATCGCCGGAGGGATGCGGATGGCTCCTGAACTTTTGAGGCGAAGGATACCCTTGTTGTGTTGGTTGAAAGGGAAACCTAGAAGAATTCCACCCATTTTGGGGGGTTTCCTCACTTTGCCGATCATGTATGAAAGCCCGAAGTTGGTCTTGAACGTATCAACCCGCTTCTTTTTCTCCTTGCTTTCGGGGAGGGCTTTTCCATGCCCCAAAAACGGCCTCCAGTTACTTTCCTTTTCAAGCACCTTTGATGGTGCCCCTGATACCTTCATGGAGATTGCAACAAAGCCCAACCTGTTTTGTTGGCAGGGTCAAAAGACCGGCTTACTTGGGGTTCTATGGGCGGTCATAGACCTCTAAATATGAAATTATTTCTTCTCCTTTTGTGTTGGGTTTTCCCAAGATAAGTGTTCATTCTGTTCCGCCGAATGCTAATTCTTTCAGGAGAGACACAATTGGAGCCGACTCAGAAAGGTTCTCAGAATCCTGCCCATGTGGTCTTTCTAAGTTTCTCACTGCAACTTTTGCATGTCCGTTGCGGGAGCAACATATTTCGACCGTGGCTTCGAGGTGTCCTGGCTTTGACACGTACCCATTTGGCGGGTGAGAATTTGATTTGGATTGCCTTTTTCACGCTTGCAAACACAGGACTGACTTTGAGAGTCGCCAATGGCCATAGACGTCCTCTTAGTTTGAGGTTGAACAAGCAGGTTGAGAGTCGGAAAGCTGGGTTCGCCGTAGACTACACTTTGTACCCGGCGCTTTTTGTCCCACGGTCAATTCCGAAGCAGCAGCGAGGACTTTTTTTGGGGCTGTGTCAAAACGAGTTGGAGCCTTGCGTTGACGGTGTTTGAACGAAGCCAGAAGGACACGGCGAATTTGATAGGCCCTCTATCATAGGATGGGGTGGTCCTTTCAATACTTCATGTTTCGTTAAAGTTTGTTTCTTTCAAAATTGTGTTTTTTTCGAAGTGGATTCCCGCCGAAGTTGGCTTCTTGTACAACACGCGTTTCTGTCGAAGCAAATTCCCTCCAAAGTCGCTTTCCTTCAAACGATGCTGCTCTGTCGAAGTGAATTCCCGTCGAAAATGGTTTCCTTCAAAGCAAGCGTTTTTGTCGAAGTGGATTCTGTCGAAGTTGGTTTCTTTCAAAACAGGTGTTTCTGTCGAAGTGGATTCTGTCGAAGTTGCCTTCCTTTCGAAGTTGCCTTTCTTTCGCAGTGGATTCCCATCACACCTGCGTTTCTGTCGAATGAATTCCCGTCTTCAAAACAAGCGTTTCTGTCGAAGTGGATTCCCATCGAAGTTGGTTTCTTTCAAAACAAGCGTTTCTGTCCAAGTGGATGCCTACCGAAGATGGTTTCTTGCAAACATGCGGTTTTGTTGACGTGGATTGCGTCGAAGTTGGTTTCTTTCAATACACGCCTTTCTTTCGAAGTGGATTCCCATCGAAGTTGGATTCTTGCAAAACATACGTTGCTTTTGAAGTAGATTCCCGCCGAAGTAGAGTTCTTTTGGCTTCTTTCACAATATGCGTTTCTGTCGAAGTGAATTCCCGTGGAAGTTGGTTTCTTGTAAAATCCAGCTTTGGCACGGTCGGCCACACTTCCTGCGGTGCAGTTTGCTTTGCGGCTTCCAGACGCCTTGCTTTGCATCGACTTTGGCCGTTGCGTTGCAACGGTAGAGTTCGAGTCGCTCCATTTCTTAGAAAAGGAGCAAGAAACAGGAGCACTTAAGCAAGTGAGCAAGAAGCAAGCAGGCAAGCAAGCCTCGCAAGCGATCAGGCAAGCCAGCAAGCAAGCCTCGCAAGCGATCAGGCAAGCCAGCAAGCAAGCAAGCAAGCAAGCACGCACGCACGCAAGCAAGCAAGCAAGCAAGCAAGCAAGCAAGCAAGCACGCACGCAAGCAAGCAAGCAAGCAAGCAAGCAAGCAGACACGCAAGCAAGCAAGCAAGCAAGCAAGCAAGCAAGCAAGCAAGCAAGCAAGCAAGCAAGCAAGCAAGCAAGCAAGCAAGCAAGCAAGCAAGCAAGCAAAACCAACAAGCAGTGAAACAACTCAGCACTTGAACAAGCAATCAACATGACGAAGACGCCAGCAAGCAAGCAAGCAAGCAAGCAAGCAGGCAGGCAAGCAAGCAAGCAAGAAAGCAAGCAAGCAAGCAAGCACGCACGCACGCACGCAAGCAAGCAAGCAAGCAAGCAAGCAGGCAAGCAACCAACCAAACAAACAAACAAGCAAACAAACAAACAAACCAGCATTTCAGGAAGGAGAGAACAAGCAATTAGTCGAACCTGCAAACGAACAGCCTAATAAACGAGCACACAAACGATCAAACAAATGTCAACACATACAAACAAGCAAGGCGACAAACAAGTAAACAAGAAAACATACAAACAGACCAACCCTATTACCTTGTGTTTTTCTCGCCTTGATCCAGATGCTGCCAGGTGTGATGAGGCGCCTGGGTTTGAGCCAATAGGCTCCTAATACAAAGCAGATACGACGTGCTTCGGACATCCCATGAGTGCACCACATGGCTGCTTGGAGACATGAGGCGTGCGTTGTTGGGGGCGGAATGCCCATGAAGCCAGTTGCTTTGGGATGTCCTACGTTCCTCTATGAAGGACAATCTCCCTCGATGGCAGTCGCTGCGGGTGAAAGAGGCGACATGGTCGAGAGGCACCCCCAAGATGGTTGAGGAATGTGATAGGTGTGTACTGGATATGAATCGCACCATGGATGTGTCGTTGAGGGCACCCCGCTTTTATGGCTTGAAAAAGGACATCGAGAGGAACCATATTTTTCCTTTTTCTTGGGGCGGGGGCCTACAACAAGGACACACCCCACATGCACCTATGCATATGCACACAGCAATATTCACATCTTTGACTTGAAAACAGGTTGGAAGCACGCTCCCCCTGTGGCCACAAATGCACCACACACCTGGGCAAAAAATAAAGTCGGCCAAAAAAGAGATGTGTTTGGGGATGATTTAGGCGGTGGTCAGGGGATCCGAAGGAACAGTCCTATGAGTTACAGCGAAAGGCACCGGCCAAACCCAGGTTGGCAGAAGTCCTTTCGGCCAAAAGAAATCATGACCAGGGGTGAGTAACTTTGGGTGAGTGTCCTTTTGGCATGGGGCACATAGAACCCATCCTGTCCAACCCAGGGACATGATGTAGGGCATTCCGTTTGCTTTGATTCGCTTCAAGCCCAAATTGCCCACGAGTTCGTTTCTAGGGGTTATCACAGTCAACAGGGGGGGATCCCTACCAAAACAAAGGTCTTGACCCGTCCAAATGGCTTGACTGTGGCAAAGGGAAAGGGGCCAAGGCCTCCAAGGCTCCAAGGCCGCAGCGTCCGGTCCGAGGCGCAAAATGGACCGCCCCGAGCTGTTGCGGCGTGGCTACTACAACGAGGCGGGCTCGGTGCGCGAGCCTTTGGGCCTGGCTCCCGGCCAGGCGCGTGTTTTGGTCCTTGGGTGTTCGTTTCCAAGTTAGCAAGTTGTTTGTAGGCTACCCACTTGCGAGTCCTCAGCGTGAACCTTGCTAGGAGGTTAGAACCCACGCTGACCACTGACTAGCGTGGCCGAACCTCCAAGTTGGGAGTCAAGAAATCGACTCTTTGCGCTTGTAACGTGAATGGCTCCAACCGAAGAGGGTAGGGAGCGATTCCGAGGCCACGTGGGGGTCCTGTTTTACGCGAAGCCTAGAATATGCCTGGATTTCCCATTTCGCCACTGCACAGGGGGAGAGGGCTGATTCCCATTCATGGGTGGATTTTACAGGGAGTGGACCCCAAAGAAGCATTGCAGTTTTCCGTTTGCCCTTTGCAGAATCTAAAGGGGTGCACAAGTTTCGGACACCGCGAACCAGTGCAAGTAGAGCCAAGCAACACCCTGAAACTTGCAGTGGTTTGTCCAACAGGGGCATCAAGCTGAACACTGTGCGAACACTGGGAAGTCCTTTCCAGGGTTTGAACGGGTCTCGGGCGTTTCCCACTTTGAAACATAGTTGCTTGGATACGCGCCGACCATCGGATCTTCTCTTCTGATTGGGTGACAAAACGGATCTCTTCCATCCGACGCGCGCGATGCGATGATGTGGATGCAAGTAGGTTGGTCTTCTCGAGGGCACTCCTTTGTGGTTGGTTTAAAGGGAAATCAAAGGGAATTGTTCATGTTGGGGGCTTCCACTAACTAATGACATGCCAAGATGTAGGCTATCAAAAACTTTCACGTGCCTGGATCTTGGGAACTTCCATTTGGATGTGTCAACATTTTGGATCCTAAGAAATCCAATGTGTCCAAAAGATTAGTGTCATATCAGGTCCTTCTAAAGCCCAGCCCCCAAAAAGGGTCACACTCTTTGCAAGAGATTTCCCATTGGTTCCCATTGATACCGTTATTATGATTCCCATTGGTCAGTCATATTTTTCAAACACCAAATTGGGTTGCATTTGCAAACCTGGCTCCGCTGCCTTTGGGATCTGTGGCTGGCCCCATAAGGCCCTTAAGTTTCATGCCGCACGATTTTTCCGAAGATCCCCCCCCCAAGTGGAAGGTAAGCAACCAACCTTTGTTTGACCTTGCAAACAGTAGATGTCATGGGCTCCATTTTGTTTCAAGCGGTGACCCGAGGGAATGCTTTCGCGCAGGTCAATGAGGATGCCTGGCCGGGACCATTCGAGGATTGGAGCCGCCGAGGGATCGAGAGCCCCAGCAGAAATGAAGACATGCTGGTCCGCTTCACCTCGGCCAGAGAAGGGCTTCTTTATTTTCGGAAACAGATCCTTGGACTCTCGCAAGAGCGTATTTTGAAAGCTGGAGAAGGTCGAACATGTGCCATGGTCAATGCACCATATTACTTGGGCTTTGTAGATGGTCATGGACCCCTTGGCATGCAACATGCTGTGCTAGAAGAGAGTGATTCGTAGTGAGCTGGGCATTGTTCGAAGGGGCTTCCAGTGTTGCGAGTGTGCTCATGGGGAGCATTTTTTCCCGAAGATTTGCACCGGCTATGTTGTTTGAAGTGCGCCAGTTGGACAAAGCAAAACACGAAGGCTTGTTTTGTTTAGTGTTTTCCGGAGCCTTCGCTTGTGGGAAGGCTGCGCGCCACTTGTGTCGGATTTTGCTCAGAGACAGGGCGGCCCCTGGCAACAGTGAGGGAGCTGTGTTGAAGCCAAGTTGGGTTTGCCTCCTTTTGCTTCAAAGCAACCTCGCAAAGGGTACTATCTTCCCAAGAAAGACGCCCACTTGTCACACGCACAGTCACAGACTTGGTTCGGGCTTGGGGTTGTGAAGCAACTACTCAAAGGACACTTCCTTCTGCACATTTCCCTTTCCCTCTTCAAGGCCCTTTGACTCTTCCTGTGGGCTGAACGTCCCAACATGTCACAGCCCTCGAGGATGTCTTCGTGTACATCATTTGCCAGGAGTGCGCGGAGCTGACGAAGATCAGGCACGGCTGGCCAAAAGTGTTTTTGGGGTTTGTGGGGAACGACGGCCTTGGGAATTGGGATGGGTCTGAGAAGGTTGGGGGGCGAGGTGGGGAAATCCAAGGACCGGTTGGAGAGTTGGACTTTCATTTCTATTGCGCGGGATGCGCAGGATTGCACAGGGAAATGACCCGAACCTAGAAACATACTCCAAAATGACACGTTGTTTTCTCTGGAAGCGGCCTGGAACGTGGTTTCAATTCCCCGATGGATAGCACCAAGAACAGGCATGGCCAGCATTGGCGGCCAGCGTCACTTTGATGCGTTCGCAGGAACTACATTGAGAAGGCTGATGCAGTGGCCACCAGGCGGGGCAATGACTCCACTGACTCTCTGACGCAGTTGACCCTCGAGATTTGCCAAGGATCTGCTGTCAAAGCGCAAAGGAAAACAAAGGAACATATTTACCTTTAAAGGGACACCAAAGGAACGCTGACGCATTTGGGGAGCCTATTTCGAGACGAACCCATTTCGGAGGTCCCCAAAATTTGAGATAAAATCACTCTGAACTGACGGCAGGCAGGGCCGTGTCCTGCGGCACGTGCTGTTCAACCTGAATCTCAACAAGCTCAGGCATGGACATTGCGTGACTTGAGATAGAGGGCCCCTTCAATAGTTGGCGTCCCCTTGGTTCTCCTTGCAACAGCAACCTAAAGGGGGTTCTCTCTGTGTGTGTGTGTGCCTCTCTTTCTCTTTTTTTTCTTTTTTGTCTTTCTGAGCATGGTTGTCTGTTTGTGTGGTGCGTGTGTGTGTCGTTTATTTTCCTTTGGGCGAAAGGTCCTTTTCAGGCTCGGTTGGGGCAGTCCCATTTGGAGATTAGTCCACCTGTGGCATGTTTGGCCCCGGACTTCTTCACATGCGGTCGGCCTGAAAATTGCGAATTTTGCATTTCAGAGCCCCAGAACACCAAACGGGTGAACGCTTGGGTGCGGTCTCTGTATTGCTAGGCTATGACTGAAACACAATTGTGTCACCGGCCCAACGTCCCAACGTAGGCCACAGACTGCCGAGGTTGACTTAGGCCAGCTGTGAGATGGCAACCCATGGCACTCTTTTGTCGCCCGTCGGTTGGCAAAAGCACTTGGGGGATGTTTTTGCCGGTGATTGGTTACTTTAGAGCCTCCGGCTCAGTCCGCCGACATTGTCCTCTCCCTTTTCTCCTTCTTCCTCTCTTCCTTGTCTCCCTTGTGTGTTCTGTCGTCCTCTCTCCCTCCCTCTGCTCCCATCCTCCCCATCCCCCCAAGCCTCTCTCTCCCCACTCTCCCTCTCTCGTATGTATGCATGCATGTACATATATGTATGTATGTATGTATGTATGTATGTATGTATGTATGTATGTATGTATGTATGTATGTATGTATGTATGTATGTATGTATGTATGTAATGTATGTATGTGTATGTATGTATGTATGTATGTATGTATGTATGTATGTATGTATGTATGTATGTATGTATGTATGTATGTAATGTATGTAATGTATGTATGTATGTATGTATGTATGTATGTATGTATGTATGTATGTATGTATGTATGTATGTATGTATGTATGTATGTATGTATGTATATGTATGTATGTATGTATGTATGTATGTATGTATGTAATGTATGTATGTATGTATGTATGTATGTATGTATGTATGTATGTATGTATGTATGTATGTATGTATGTATGTATGTATGTATGTATGTATGTATGTATGTATGTATGTATGTATGTATGTATGTATGTATGTATGTATGTATGTATGTATGTATGTATGTATGTATGTATGTATGTATGTATGTATGTATGTATGTATGTATGTATGTATGTATGTATGTATGTATGTATGTATGTATGTATGTATGTATGTATGTATGTATGTATGTATGTATGTATGTATGTATGTAATGTAATGTAATGTAATGTATGTATGTATGTATGTATGTATGTATGTATGTATGTATGTATGTATGTATGTAATGTAATGTAATGTAATGTAATGTAATGTAATAATGTAATGTATGTATGTATGTATGTATGTATGTATGTATGTATGTATGTATGTATGTATGTATGTATGTATGTATGTATGTATGTATGTATGTATGTATGTATGTATGTATGTATGTATGTATGTATGTATGTATGTATGTATGTATGTATGTATGTATGTATGTATGTATGTATGTATGTATGTATGTATATGTATGTATGTATGTATGTATGTATGTATGTATGTATGTATGTATGTATGTATGTATGTATGTATGTATGTATGTATGTATGTATGTATGTATGTATGTATGTAATGTAATGTGTAATGTAATGTAATGTATGTATGTATGTATGTATGTATGTATGTATGTATGTATGTATGTATGTATGTATGTATGTATGTATGTATGTATGTATGTATGTATGTATGTATGTATGTATGTATGTATGTATGTATGTATGTATGTATGTATGTATGTATGTATGTATGTATGTATGTATGTAATGTATGTATGTAATGTATGTAATGTATGTATGTATGTGTATGTATGTATGTATGTATGTATGTATGTATGTATGTATGTATGTATGTATGTATGTATGTATGTATGTATGTATGTATGTATGTATGTATGTATGTATGTATGTATGTATGTATGTATGTATGTATGTATGTATGTATGTATGTATGTATGTATGTATGTATGTATGTATGTATGTATGTATGTAATGTATGTATGTATGTATGTATGTATGTATGTATGTATGTATGTATGTATGTATGTATGTATGTATGTATGTATGTATGTATGTATGTATGTATGTATGTATGTATGTATGTATGTATGTATGTATGTATGTATGTATGTATGTATGTATGTATGTATGTATGTATGTATGTATGTATGTATGTATGTATGTATGTATGTATGTATGTATGTAATGTATGTATGTATGTATGTATGTATGTATGTATGTATGTATGTATGTATGTATGTATGTATGTATGTATGTATGTATGTATGTATGTATGTATGTATGTATGTAATGTAATGTAATGTAATGTAATGTATGTATGTATGTATGTATGTATGTATGTATGTATGTATGTATGTATGTATGTATGTATGTATGTATGTATGTATGTATGTATGTATGTATGTATGTATGTATGTATGTATGTATGTATGTATGTATGTATGTATGTATATGTATGTATGTATGTATGTATGTATGTATGTATGTATGTATGTATGTATGTATGTATGTATGTATGTATGTATGTATGTATGTATGTATGTAATGTATGTATGTAATGTATGTATGTATGTATGTATGTATGTATGTATGTATGTATGTATGTATGTATGTATGTATGTATGTATGTATGTATGTATGTATGTATGTATGTATGTATGTATGTATGTATGTATGTATGTATGTATGTATGTATGTATGTATGTATATGTATGTATGTATGTATGTATGTATGTATGTATGTATGTATGTATGTATGTATGTATGTATGTATGTATGTATGTATGTATGTATGTATGTCTGTAAGCATGCATGTATGTATGTATGTATGCATGTATGTATGTATGCATGTATGCATGTATGTGAGTATGTAAGTAAGTAAGTAAGTAAGTAAGTAAGCAAGCAAGCAAGTAAGTAAGTAAGTAAGTAAGTAAGTAAGTAAGTAATGTAATGCATGTAATGTATGTACGTATGTATGTATGTGTGCATGCATGCATGCATGCACGCATGCTTACATACATGTATGCATGTATGTATGTATGTAATGTATGTATGTATGTAATGTCATGTAATGTCATGTAATGTAATGTAATGTAATGTACTGTAATGTATGTATGTATGTATGTATGTATCCTTGCACTTCCCCTTTGCTCCCCAGTATTTCCCGCAAAAAAAACACGGTTTTTCCAGCGTTTTCGCAAAGAGGACGTCCAAAAACATTGAGTTTTTCCAGATTTTCGGCAAAAGGATGCAGGAAGCCCAAGCCAGCAAAAAAGCCGGCAGGGGGAATCGAGCCTGGGACCCCTGTTTTGCGACACCGGCTCCCCGAAGACTACGTTTAGTGGAACGTCATCAAATTGCCGCGCGGTACGTGGGGGACCCCCCCCCCCCCAAAAAACCTACGTAATAGACGTCGGGCGGGGGGGGGTTAGGGGGGGGGTTATCCTCTATCCTCTAGTAAGTATCCGACACGTGTCGGCGGATTTTTGGGATGGGTTAAGGGGAGGCCGCCTTACGTCAACGGAAGGTCAGATATCGAGTTCCAGAAGCGCATTCTGCCCTTCCAGCCCGGCCAATCCACGCAGAAGGCGCCCTCGGATTCTCGGGTTCTCGGGCTCCCTCGAGCTCGGTGTGAAGGGGGGTCTGACTTCTCGAGTTCAAGTTAGAGCACTTTGCTTAAAAGGGGGAACCCGTGTTTTTTGTTCCCCCCCCCCCCCCGGTTTTGTGGTTGAACAAAAACGGTTTTGGACAAGAGGGGCTAATCCCATGTTCTTGGGGGGTTTGGTTTAAGGAGAATCTCTGACAAGGCTTCAGTTTTCACGTTGACCAGGTGCACTTCGACTTCTTCAGCACATTCCGGAATGCCTACTTCATCCGCTTCGGCAAGTGCGTTGCCGCCTAACCTTTTTTTTTGGGTTCCCCCGAACTTGGGACATGCCCTCACGCCGAGCATTGAACTTTTCAGATCAGGATCTGTGCGGACTTTCCAGTGCTCGAGAGGGCAAAAGACGGACTGGGTGCACTTCGACTTCTTCAGCACATTCCGGAATGCCTACTTCATCCGCTTCGGCAAGTGCGTTGCCGCCTAACCTTTTTTTTTGGGTTCCCCCGAACTTGGGACATGCCCTCACGCCGAGCATTGAACTTTTCAGATCAGGATCTGTGCGGACTTTCCAGTGCTCGAGAGGGCAAAAGACGGACTGGGCTCTAGCTACATCCAGGTACACGCAAACTGTGCTACGAGACCCTTTCAACATCAACTACGTCGGCGCCATGTGCGCCAGCACGTGTCACGGCACCCGTTCGCCCGTCTTTTTGCTTGTTTTGCATGCCACTGGATGTCACTGCATGCCACTTTGCACCGTTGCCCCTGTGGAATGCAACAGAAGCTGTGTGCCAAGAGCATGGTGGGTATTTGATCTTGGCTTGTTACCCGGTTCTGGACTTCAATATGAGCTTTGTTCAAAGTCACCTGCAGCCATTGATGTAATTCGGGGAAACCATCAGAATCTTGCCTAACACGTGGCAAAAACGATAGCCCTCCCGAAACGCCAGCAGTCTCAAACGATCATGCAAGCAAGTGATTTTGAACATGGCGCACGTGTCGCAGCAATTTGCACGCTCATACACGAACGCATTTTCTCATGCGAAGATAGCCTTGATCAGTACTGCGTGACTGGTTGATTCAGTTAACGTACTGCTTCCAAGGGTCATTCTATTTCATTTGGATTCAGTTTGCAGGACATTATTGATTGGATTTGAAGCTTTCGGCAACTCGTAGACTGCGGCTAGCAGGGACACACGAAAGGATGAACAGCTGTACCGGTACTTTGGCCATGGCTGAGGATGACTAGCGTTTGATGCCCAAGGAAGGCTCAGCCTACGGTCAGCTGTCTGCATATGGTTTGGCGGTTCTGGGAGCACTAGGGGGCTCCTTTGCGGGGCTCTTGGTGAAGCTCTTCAAATGGATTTTGGAGTTGCTGCTGGACCTGGTGTGGTTCGAGCTGCCGCGGATCCTGGATTCTTGGGGCTGGAGCTCTGGCTCGCCCTTTGCGCTCTACCATTTCACCTGGATCTGGGGCGGGTTGATGGGGGCGGTGGTGGGGGGGCTCCGCCACTTTCTGCCGCCTGAGTCCGTGCCCACCCTGGGGCTGTGGGTGCGCCATCTTCACGGACCCAGGGGCACCGCACCCGCGGGGCTGTGGGTGGGCGCGGTGGCGGGCCTGGGCGTGGTGACGGTGCTGAGCGGTGCCGCGGTGGGCCCAGAGCCGCTGGTGGTGATTGGCCCCAGCGTGCTTTTCGCAGCTGTGGTGGAGAGGTGGGGTCACAAGGCGCTGCCCTTGTTGGCGGAAACGCCGGCCCGGGAAGGCGAGGGCGCGCAATTGCGGCAGGTGGTGCGGGTGGCAGCTCTGGCGGGCGGGGCCGGTGGTCTGGCGGCCTTCTTTGGACTGCCCCTGGCCAGCGCCTTTATGGTGCTGGAGGTGCCGCACGTGGACGGCGCTGAGTTCGCCCTAGAGGCGCTGCCGGCCTGCGTGGTGGCCAGTCTCATGGGCACGCTGCTGGGGGACTGCGTGTGGCACCCCAAGCAACTGCTGGGGAACAGCCGCTTTTGGTTCCCGGGCAGCCCGTCGCTCTCGGAGGAATCGGCTATTCATCAGCGTGCCTTCGGCCTCCAGGCTGTGCTCTTCGCCCCCTGTGCTGGGATGGTGGGAGGCTGTGCGGCGCATCTCCTCATCGGCTGCATCAAGGCGCTGCACATCGTCCTCCACCGCTTCCTTGGTCCCCAGACAAGGGGCCAATTGGCCGCGCGGCGCGCTGCGTTGCTTGCGACGGTGGGGGCCGTGAATGCCGCGCTGGGCCTGGTGTACCCCTCAGCGCTGTTCTGGGGCGAGGAGCAGCTGCAGGTGGCCCTGACGCGGGGCTGCGACGGGATGGCCCCCAGCTGCCAGCCTGTGGAGCTGCCCCACTGGTACGTTGGGCTGCAGTCTGACTTCGCGATCCGAGCCAGCAAGGGGCAACCCATGACGGCCTGGCAGATGGTCGGGTTGGGTGTGGTGAAGATTGTCATGATCAGCCTCTGTGAGGCCGCCGGCTTTGTTGGAGGCACTATCTACCCAGTGATTTTCGTTGCTGCGTGCTTTGGCTCTGCATTGGGCTCCACCGCCATGGTTCAATCTTGGGGCGGCCAGTTTGTCTACCTCAGCACAGCCGCTGCAATGTCTACAGCCCTGGCTGCATTGTTGAACACCAACCTTTTTGGGATCCTCTTGGTTTTGGTACTTCAGGCCAACATCCCAGACGGAAATGTCAGCTCACAGATCATCGCCCTCATGACCGCCGTTTACACGCATTATTTTCTGACCAGAACTACCGTGGTGCCCTACCTTCACCTCCTTGTATCTCAAAAGGCACGCGACGACGTCCGGTACGTGCCTTATGAGGCCTCTAGCGGGGGGAGCGAGAACTCGGACGCGGAACTCTCCGCGGGTGACTCAACGGACTCGGACTCCGAACAGATGTCGTCGCTGTGACTCCCGGAGTGAACTTCTGGTGCCCATTTCCAGGGCTGCTTCGTTTGGCCGCGAAACTGCCGGAGGTGTGCGCGGCGCTTGGGAAAGTGAGAGAACATCCTCATCCCGCCTCGGAACGGTGCGAATTCGGGCTTCGCATGCCATCTTGCTGTGCAAGGGTGGCATGCGGCCGATGTTCGAAGTGCGTCCTGGCAAAGAAGCTCCAAGGCCACCAATCGAGCGGAAGCACATCTTCGCATTGTAAAGGGACCTGCGGCGAAAAATTGTTGAGCAAGTCTGGATCAGATCTTTTCATGATGAGTTTCTTGCCTTGTGCATGTGATTCTCTGCATCTCCAAATCATTCGCCATGCACCACTGTGATCGCGATGCTCTAATACAATGGGAAATCGAATGCCGGGCGCCTCGAAGTGAGCTTGCTGGCCAGGTACCATGCGTACCCAAGCCCATGGCAAGTCTTCATGCAGGAGATGGGGGGGGGCCGATATGGGTGCTCGGGAAGGGCGCGGCATCGTTTCGGTCCTAGTTTTCGGCTCCTTTCGGTCCTAGTCTTTTCTCGTTTCGGTCCTAGTTCTTCGGTCGTTTTGTACCGGTCCGGAAAAATGCTTGATTGGTTTGATTGCTCTGATTGGCAGGTTGCCTGACCAAATCCAACGTGATTTGGCCAGGTTTTGCAACTACGGCTCAAATGAGCGAAAACTAGGACCAACATGATTTAGACACTACAACCAAAATGAGCGGAGGCGGGCTGAGAACGTCCAAATCAGCCCAAAAACTGACCAGGATCAAAACGAGCAAAACACTGGGACCAAAATGAGCAGGCTACCGGGAACCCCTTGTGGATGGTTAACGGACATCAACCGTTCACGCCTTTTACCTGCTTCAGAACACTATGCAAGTAGTTGGGTGTAGCTGTACTTTTGATTTCAGAGTCAGAGAGGCCAAATGTCTGGGCTGCTTAAACACACTTGTTGAATAGATTAGCACGGTTATGACTGGGACAACGGCTGTTGGCAAACCTGGGAGACATTTACAGTATGATTGGCTGTGTGCTGTGGCGGAAACTGGGAGGGGGGGACAAGCCAACTTTTCCAAAAGAGCGACAACCCAATTTTCCCAAATATTGCCCGTTTCACAGGGTTTCTCAAGCTGGTGGTCTCCATTTTGGTTAGCCAACGAAACACCCAGAGGAAAGCTCAAAGAGTCCACTTTGAGAAGCATCCCATTGTGGGCTTGTCTCAAAGTGTCGGACCTCCAAAACAGGCGTCCTTTGACTTCCTTTGGTTTCCCTTGAAGTCACAGGGGTGGCCTTGGACAAAAGACACCCCCCATGCCATGGTTACCCACCAAGCAGCTCTTGATAAGACATGGCCAGAGGACCCTGACGGCAACTACCGACCCATTTGGGCGACTGACCTCCGAACGGGCGCCCAGTGGGGTCCATTTTGGTTTCGCTGTCTTTGACCTTTTGTGTTCCCCTTTTTGGTTTTCCGTTTTGGTTTCTTCGACTTGAAAAAAGCAATAAACTTGCTCTTGGATGATGCTTTGGGCGGAGATTGAAGACACGGCACACAACAAGATTGGTTACACGGTGTTTTTTACAACACCATTGGGATCTGTACTGGCACACTGTTTTCGGCACCCTCGGGAAATGAGCTCACCCTATGCCACCTGCGAGTCTCCTGGTTTGGGCCAATTTCCCTCTCAGGAAATGGAGGGGCAGACGACCTTGCGGCGCTTTACGTGCTTTTTTCTGGAGACACCCTTCGAACTTCTTCCTGAAAGCCTTTCTGGATAGATCTTGAACCCTATTTTCGAATATGATCGATTGGAAGCAACTGGCTCGACACCATCTTCGGGGTCGGGCCTGGTTTCCTTTTTCTTTTAACCCTCGGGGTTTCCGCACACACTTGCGCCGAGGCCCCTCCATTCAGTGCGTGAAGTGGGGGCCTCGGAGTAGAGATCAAAAGGGGGAGTCCTCATGGCTCAGTCTAAGCGGAAACGGGTCTATCAAACGGGTTCCAGCAGAACGCGTGTAGCATCCGAAAGGAACCCATTGGTGATTGAACCCTTTTCTTGTGTGACCCGCATGGTTGCCCTCTGGAAGTGAGCTTCCTCTTTTTACTCACAGCACATCGTATTGGCGTGTCTCTAAATCTGTCAACCCCGCCGAAAGAGCGTCCTTTGCCTTTGAGTTCCCTTTCAAGCCACGCCGAAAAGCTCACCGAACCTCCAAAAACGAGACACCCAGAGGGCTCGTGAGGCACTTAGTTTTTGTGCAATGCACGGAGGTTGCCAATGTTCGATGCATTCGCAATCGTTTCTAAGCTTACTGTTTGAACTGGTTTTCAGCTTTCAACGACTGAAAGGATGCTTTGATGCTGTGCCGTGAAAAGCGCAGCGTTGTTAGTTGCCCAGCGGCGTTTCTTGGTAGATGGTCTTTACAACACTATATCCAGAAGAGAGTCCCTAATTTTCGGCAACACCTGAAGGAACTCTGTCCAAAAAGGAAATCCGCTTGAGAGACCGAGGTGAGTTTCAGTTTGGTGTTAACCATTCGGGGACTCCGATTTCCAAGACACGGTCCAGAAGTTGAGGGACCCTGAACGGGGTCTAACAGACAGGTGCCGGCTCTCATCAGCATCTGCCAATATGTATGACGAGCTCACCTGGGGCAAAACCGAGTTCACCATGCGTAGGTCCTTCACTTGGGATCGGTTAAGTCAGGTTATGGAAAATTATCGTAGCAATAGCAGATTAAGCCGGCCTTTTATGGATCCCTGTTTAAGATGCTTCCCCTGAGTTTTCGTCAGGCAGACAAACCTGGGCCAACTGGTGATGTGCCATCTGAACGGCTTGGGACCCGCGTGCGGGCAAAGCTTCTTTCCACGTGCAAGAGGATTTTACGGTCACTCAAACAATTTCTCCGGGCTTCAAATTTGCCCTGTTGGCATTGAAGAGAAATGGCCATAGTGGATACATGGATTTCTTAGTGGTGCTCGCTCAAACCACTGGGACTGCCATCAGCCCTCACAGACCTCATGCTTGCGCTCACTCCATTGTCCTGTTGCCCATGGCCCACAGGTGTCTTTTATGGTTTCACTTTGGCTGAACGTCGATGGATTCCGGCGGTAACACATTTGGCATCTACATCACGGGTCACATTTGGTTGAATTTGTCCATCCCAACAAATGTGCAGGTCCCAGCATCACGGGTCATTTTCCCTCCAGCAACTCCAACAAAAAGTCCGCGGTCGTTTGCCCTTCGATCCCGATCGGATCGTTTTCCCTCTATCCTCCTGCAAATTCTACCATTGGAATCCCCGGATTTCTGTCAAAGCACTACGCTTGCGCGCCCGCCTGCGAGGCGGAAGCTGCAGCGCGCCAACTCCTTATGGCGCGACGTGGGCCTGCCAGAGGCGCCGCTGGTGGCTGGGTTGTGCCCTCGGGGCATGCCTCCGACCCCTCACGGCTTGGGAGGTTGGTACAGGATTTTCACCGACTGTAATATCAACCTTGGATTTCACCAAACCCTTCAGGCAGAATTGGAGATATCCATGAAAGTTCCTATTAGAACTGTGGAGGAGAAGCAAGCAGAAACGCCATGGGTTGGCACCCCTTATTTTAAGCCGCTCAGGTTTCCATACCTTTTGAATTAGAACATTAACTCTGGGGTATAGAAAGTGAGTTGTTTTCTTGATCGGCCGATGTTCAGAGGGGAGCTTGTGATTTGATGGGTTTCTATCTAAAGGCCATCAGAAAGGGGGGTTGCACATTTGATATCTACTGTAGTCAGGCTGTCAAGGTGGGTGTGGTCCCATAGGGTTCCACTGGTTCGAGATCGGGAAAACAGGATCCCCTATCTTCTCACGGGCTCCCAAGTTTGACGTCAGGATGAGAGCAAGGACGACATCTACAAGAGTGTCGATATCAAGGCCCGGCTCATGAGAGATGAAGCACACTGCACTGGTAACGAAGGTTTGGGGCAAAGCTACTTGCAGGTCTTGAGTGCAGGAGTGCTTCAAGTTGGCCTGTGCAGGGATATTCAACCTTCTAAGAAAGTGGGTTGTAACCCTATTTGTCCCGTTTATGACAGGATCACGACTTTCCTTTTGGTTTCCCTTTTTAACCATCCTAAGAAAGGGGTACCAACTCCAAAAACACATACACATACCGACCCATGAGGGGGTTTCATGGGGTTTCTCAAAGTGGTCTATGATAGGTTTCCTTGTCATTTTCCTTTACCAAGTCTAGATCCCAACCCCATGTTGAGAACCAACCTAGAGAACACGCGCAAACGCATCGTTTGGGAGGCCGCGGGCACGATCAACAAGACCGTGCTCCAGTTCTTCAAGGAGGGCGGCGGAGAAGCCCTCTGGTGGGAGGACGGGCGTCACATTGAGGTGCTTGGCCTTTTTTTTGGCCCTGTTTGAGCCCCTGGCTTTGTTTGTTTCTTTGTTTTTGTTTGTTCACGTGTGTTTGGTTGTTTAATCGTTTTTGATCTGAGGGGCAGGAAACCGAAAGGAGGCCCCCAAAGATCAGGGACCACGCAGACATGAGTGGAGCATTTGAATATTCAGTGGTCAACTTCCCTCGAGCTCTTCACTTGGGTTTGTCTCAAAATAGGGGAACACTCAGAATTGATGCTTACCCTTCGAGTTCCCTGTCAAGCGGGGGTTCCCTAAAGAAAGACGAGCCACCCATTTCTCGCCAGGAAGGCTTCGACGAGGAGGTGAGCAGGAAGTGGCGCCTGGCGTGAAGGCAGTGGGTCACCTGCGCGCCGGGTTTTCCTTTTGACCCATAAAGGCTTTTGGTGGCTCGTCTTTGTTTGAGTCCCTTGTTTTGGTTTAAAAAAAGCCATAAGGAAATACCCACAATTTTGGGGGGGAAGAGCAGTTGGAGGAAACCACGGGATGAAAAATCCCGTGCTCTGGTTTTGGATCCCGATTGAACATGTTGGCCCTCATTTAATACGCCTTGCAGATTGATGGGGGGGGGGGGGTCGGAAATCCTGAAAGTATCAAGGCACTCTTCGTCCGTTGGTGGTCTGGGTTTGTGGTTCGGGGTTTGACCCCCTGTTTGTCGAGGAGCCCAAATGGGAAGGACTTTTCTCATCTCCAAACCTGCAGACCAAACCAAGCCGCCACTCCGCGATAAGCTGGCTCTTCAAGCTTTGAACCAAAGCCATTTGGGGCCTCGTTCAGGCCGAGGATGAGTTCAACTGGCACAGGGCATTCCTCTACTGTTGGTTTTGTTTTAACACTTTGTGTAAAACAGATACACGTTTACATGCTTCGTGTTTTTGTTTGCTCTTGATTTTGTTAAGCGGGAACCAATAGCTTCATTCTCTGCTTATGTTCCGGCAACTTGTGGCATTGTCTAGTTTTCGTCGATGGCATTGGCAAGTTCCAATTGCTTGGCATGGCCGGCAGGTCGACTCACTCGCCGGGCGCAGGTTGGCAGGGATCCTTTTTATTGGTGTTCCCCCCTTTTTGGCAGATGAAATATTGAACTAATGTTGTCATGTACCAAGGGGTTTTGCAACTTGAATCTGAGATCTCTTCGTTCTTTTCACATTTCAAGGCTCACTAAATATGAGCCAGATGCTGGCTGGGGGAATCTTATGCCCCCCCCCCCCCGGCTGAACGAGGTTTTTGGGGATTGCCGATGGCTTATGTGCCAGGCTCCGCGGTGAGGAAGGGAATTTTCCGCTCGGGCGACCGGTCATGTCTCTGAGCTGTGCTGAAGTTCTTACCGAAACCTCATGCCTTGGAGAAAAGGCGTGCGGCGTGGCCAAAGGGCCACTTTTTGAGCCGGTTCCCTTTGCCATGGCGTTGAAACAACTTTCACCATGAGCAGTCAAGGAACACCGGACAGGGAGACGAGAAAAAGAAAGAGAAACAGAAAGAGAAACAAAAAGAGAACGAGCAAGAAAGAAAGAAAGAAAGAAAGAAAGAAAGAAGGAAGGAAAGAAAGAAAGAAAGAAAGAAAGAAAGAAAGAAAGAAAGAAAAGAAACAAAAGAAAAGAAACAAAAGAAAAAGGAAAGAAGGAAATAAAGATCGAGGCAGCTCTTAGTTGTAGCCAAAGTGGTTGACAGCCCAGCGCGATCGAACGTGGTTGTTTATCCGCCTCCTCTGGCTCAGTTTCTTGAAAATATTTGACGGGTGCCGGAACATATAATCCAACCACTCAGTCGCAATGGCCGCCATGCGCTCGGTGCTCAGGATCCTGTGAGGTGGTTCTTGCACTCGGCAAGGGGTGAGACCCCATGTAACTTCTTGAAAACTGCATGTGAGTGCAAGCAAGCAGAAAGCCATCCATAGGACTTTGTGATTTTGGATTGCTGTACGCCGGAATCATTCGGGCTTCCGCAAATCTCTTTATGATCCATAGCCTGCCATCCGAATCTGAGAGGAGATCCCTTCACCTTCGCGGGTTGCATCCACATCTGAGCCTGGCGACAACTGACCCTTTCTCTCAACAGAGGCTTTGCTTCTTTGCCACAAGTTGTTTTTCTTTGGCTTCGGTTTCCCTCAGTCTCGTGGTCAAGCTAAGGCTTAGCCGGACTTGTGGTCTCGGGACGGCGTGAGCAGTGCCCCCCCCGCCTCGTCTCCGTATTTCGCTTCCCAAGTCCGGCATGAGGCTCTGGAGCTGCAGCAGTTTTGGCACGGAAGCTGGCGCAGGATGGGAATTGGCTTGGAGAAACTGAAGGGAAGGCGTTTGGAGGACGCCCTGCGTGTGTTTGGGGAGTGTGCCTGCTTGGTGTGTATTTGATTGTATATATGGTATGCCAGTGCTTTTCGGATGCCTGTTTTTTTGAGGGCAGCAGTAGTTCCATGGAAAGTCGTGTGGGCCAACTTTGAGATGCACCCTTTGGCGTGTGATTTTTTGGAGTCTGCTGAACTAGATCCTTCAAAGGTGGAGGTCTATCAGGTTCTCAAGACCCAGCACTTTTGAGTGCGTTGGGTTCGAGTGATTGGAGCGTGTCCTTTGTGAGAGCACCCCTCGTGTCCCTTGCGCCCTTTGGAAGGCCCAACCCAAACCCAAGAATACAACTTTGGCGGCTGGACTGCAATCCTCTGCAGTTTTCTTGGCGCAGTGCCAGACTGAACTCACCTGTTTGCTTGTTGGCATTTTGAGTTTCCTCCATTTGCCCGAACCACTAGTTGAGGCAAAAGTTGGTCAGATGGGACAGCTTTCCAGCTCTCCCGACGTCCCTTCACACCCCGGGGACCCTCAAAGGTCCTCTTCGGGGAAGACGAAGTTTGACCAAAACGGGGGGGTTGTTTTAGTAGTGGAGGGCCACGCCCCGCAAATAAATTGCTTCATACATACCCCCCACCCTACATTTTTTTTCATCTTCCATCTTCTACCCTTATTTGTTTTCATCATTTTTCTACATTCCTTTCTGTCCATCTCATCCGTTTTTTATCATCATTTTTCCAAAATTTTCGCCATCCTTTTCTCCTTTCTCCTCGCCTCATTCGTTTCACCAACTACCCTCCAAAATGTCATTTCCTCAATCTCCTCACCTCATCCATTTCAAACAAAGAAAATTTGCAAAATATATTGCAAAAAATATTTGTCATCAAAAAAATATTCGAACTGTCTAAAAACGATTTGTCCATTTCCCGGACAAAAAATAGAACAGCAACAACATCACTCTCCTCCTTCGTTTCATCACTTTTATCATATATTTTTTTGGGGCGTGGTGTCCCTTGTAGGATTTTATCTTCAATATATAAAACGCTATACTGACATTATAATTATAACATATAAGGGTATAAATGTTATTATTATAGTATGATTAATAATTATGGGTTACATTTATAGTCAGGAAAAATGTCTTCAAATATGTAATCTACATATTTATCAATATCGCCAATGTCTATATATTTGATATTGTCTTTTCCTATTATTGAATAAATATATTCCCAGAAAAACAAATTAACTAGTAGCCATACTTGATATTTAGTGTTGTAGTAAGACCATACATGATATTTAGTTATTCTAAATTCATTCAAGACCTCGTTTATTTTATCTTTACTTAATAAATGCCAATCAATCGCATCAAACATGCCTCGAAATTTTTTAACAAATGCTTTATATGGTTTAATTGCGCTTGTCCCTCCAAACCTTTTAATCAAATCTTTATTATTGAAGAACTCATCAATTTCTTTTTCAAATGACTTTCTTGCAATTGTATGGTAAAAACATACAGGACATCGTTTTTGATATCTCATAAAGAATGTCAATTGTAATTGAAACTTTGTATATCCCTTATCCTTATGTTCTTCAACAAAAAACTTTTCAAGGTCTCTTGTTATACAGCATTGACTACAATATACATCATATTCACTTATTTTATTACATAGATTGGCGGGTAATAACTTATACAATGTTATATTAACATCATTCCTTTTAGTTGTACAACATTCGCACTTTGAATAATTAAATAACATTTCCACTGTAATATATATAGTGTTTATTTCTTTAAATACTTTTTTACAAGAAATACAATTACATATTGAAATATAATTATAACATATAATATTTTACATGTTATTATTATATTATGATTATAATTTAAGTTCAGGATAATAATTTAATTGATACATCTTACCTCTTTCATACATCATTTTAAAAATAATATTAATATCTCTCACTGTATTTTTAACATTAAATTTTTCACTTTCAATATATGATTTTATGACTTTTTTTTACATCAACGCCGGGTTTACTATAATAAATCAACATCCATAATATGTCATTAATCATTTCACACTTTTTCTTACTGATTTTAAGAAACTGTTTAACATAATCGTAAGGTGGTCTTTCATACACAGTTAAAAATATCAATATTTCATCTTCAACATTTCTTTCATCTATATTTTTAAACGCCAAACAATTTTCTATTATATTTTGATATCGTCTCCATCTTCTACAAGTTCTACATATATTTTCTTCGTCCAAAGAATAATCAATAATATTATTAACTATTCCATTAGGTAAATTCAATTTATATAATTCCATATTTTCCTTTTTGAAGTGGCAACAGTCGTAGCATTTCTTATTGATATAATTATTGATTTCGGTTTCCACCATTGCTATTATAATATATATAGTGTTTATTTATTTAAATATTTTTTTTACAAGAAATAAAATTAAATATTGAAATATAATTATAACATATAATATTTTACATGTTATTATTATAGTATGGTTATAGGTTAATTTCAGGATAATAATTTAATTTGATATGTTCATATTTGGTAAAAATATGTTCATGAATGTATTTTAGTATGTCATTAAATTCTTTCAGTTTACTTGATGGTACAAAATGTTTTAAACGCGTAGGGTCATGTAAACGACTGTCAAATCCAGATCTGTATTTCTTAAACCTGCTTGGTGCCAAATTAAACTGTAGCTTTAATTCTTCTTCCTTTGGGAATTTATATAACTCATTAAAATAGTATACTGTAGAGACATCACTAAAATATCTATTCGCGTGGTCAATTGTCTGGTTCAAATGAATGCAGTTATCGCATTTGCATTTACGTTCTCCATATTCTTTGATTAACCTAATGGCATTGAATGGCAACTTCAAATAAAGTAATAGTGATGAATTGTAATTATGTTTGGATAGTTCGTGTTTGAGAATCTTTTCTGTTTCATTTTTGTTTAAGTCATCCAAGAATTTATTAATAATCTCTTCTTGCTCTTTCTCTGTAAATTCAACCATTTCTATTATAATATATATAGTTTTTATTTCTTTAAATACTTTTTTCCAAGAAATAAATTTATACCTTTAATAACTCATGTCTCAAAAATGCCCTGTCATAATTTTCAATATAATAATATTCCTGTCCTAACTTCTTTTCAATCTTTGCTATTTTGTAGGTTTGTTTAGTCCATACTCCTACTCTCTCCTTTTCATTCGGTCTCCTTTTCCTGAATATCTTAACTTCATTTCCTACATTTAAATCTGGATAAACTCTATTTCTTTTGGCTTTCATACCTAAGTTTAAACTCACTTCTAATTGATGTTTAGGCTTTCTTGCTTCTGACGGTGTTAAGCCGTGCGAAGTGTGCTTTATTCCATTGTTATAGGTTAATATAATCTCGTGTATGTAGTCTGTCCATTGAATAGCCTTTCCTCTTTTCTCATGGTTTTCAACCCTCTTATACAAGCTATCTTTAAACGTCCTTATCGCCCTCTCCGCAAATGCTGGGTGTCCTCTGGTTCTGTGCAACTCTATTTTTTCACCCTTCAAGAAATCTATAACACTTTGATTGTTATAAGCTCCTTCGTCGTCAATATAAATTAGTTTGGGCTTTCCACCCATTTTTTTAATACATTCCATCAGTCCTGCTAAAATGTCCGCTGGCTGTTTTGACATAAGCGGGACAACAACCATATACTTAGAAAATATGTCAATACACATCATGCCAACTTTCATTTTTTGTTTAGGGATATCATTAATGAAAAATAAATCAATTTGAAACTCATAATATGCGTTAGGAGCTACAAATGAATTCTGTCCTCTTGGCTTGGCTTTCTGTTCTACATTCTTCCTAAAAAACTCATTAATATCGTTTATAGTTATTGTGTTATCCTTTTTTCTTGCTTCTTGTAAAGTGCGGTTCTTTGACCCGAAGCCTCCCTTATCATAATAAACATTATTAATAATATCTTGCTTAGATGCCATATAAAATAAGATAGATATTATTTTTCCCGGCGATTACAGTTTAAACAGTAAGATATACAGTTTTCCTTATGATGGGCATAATCGTTGTTTATTCTTTGGGCTGTCATATTGCTATTTATTACTCCATTATTTATTTCTATGTCAAAATCTGAACTGCATTTATTACATCTGGTATTAAGCCTGTCAAATAACCATTTGACATCAATATATTGTTTGTTGTCTATTTCTCTCTCTGTTTTTATGTCTTGTAATTTATATTGTTTAATCTTATGTTCTAAATATCTGGTTACCTGTGCTTCATTTAAATCAGTATCATCTACGTCTGCTTTGAAAAACTTGACTTTATTGATATCTCTGCATCTCGTGAGGGCTGTCCAAATCCACTCACGGCTGACCAAATGCGATTTATCCCATTCGTGTATAGTAATGCTTTTATCTAGAGAAGCCCCTTGAGACGAATGACATGTAGCACAATAAGCATGTATAAAGTGCTTGTCTAAAGTCGTGGTGTTTGTCATGAATATAGTTTTACTTTTGATATCTTGGATTTCTACTTTCCAATCATCAATACTAATAATTTCATAAGTAATATTTACATTAAACACCTGCCCCATATCCTTTTTATAAACTCTGCATATCACATGCTCTCCAATTTCATATTTATCTGTCTTTCCTAAATTATTTCTTACGGTCTTGCTTACCCATTTGCACCTAGCATTAGTATAGGCTATGTTATGCTCTCCTTCCATGATGTCGCTTGTAGTTTCAAAATGTTTATTTACTATTTCCTTAATGGGCAGTTTACTTTTCCAAATGTCATTATATATATCATTCAATTTAATTTTATCTTCTTCTGTCTTAAGTCTCTTAGATATCTTAAGATAAATCTTATATTTAAATATTTGATTAAGACAGTTGTTTAAATATGTCTCGTGGTGCTGGGTGTTAGTCAAATCAGCGATAGGTTTCAACTG